GACTGCACCTGCAGACAACGCAAAAAATTCCCCAAGGGAAATGAAGAAACGAAATCTGGTCAATCAACGTAACTTTCGCTCGCGGCGAAAACAATATGTAGCCGAGTTGGAACAAAAATTGCAGCAGTACGAGCGGGAAGGGGTCGCTGCCACTCGAAGGGTTCAACATGCAGCCCGTCTTGTTCTCGCGGAAAATGCAGTGCTGCGACACTTGATACAGAGCGAGTTTGGCTTGGATTCTCAGGCACTCGACGACCAAATCTTCCGCGAGATGAGAAATCGGGTCGACTTAAATCTGCACAACCTCCCGAGCACCGACCGTCAGTCTACACGTTCCGAAGAACTACCCAGTCGAGGCACAACTGCTGACTACCAGCAAGTATCGACCGCGGCCACCACATCACCCCGTTTGCTCGAAACGGCTCTCCCAGCGATGAAGAGTGATCGTTCCCATACGCTAACGTCACAAGATTCCTCAACAATGAGCGACAGTCGGTATGGGGAACAGGCCGAAGTTGTTGATGCCACGCCTGTGGATGCGGCTAGGCTATCAGCCAATCTGGCGCTTTGGAATGACCATGAAGAAGCTGCACCTCTTAGCAACCAAGAGGAACCTGATGTAGTTGAGGCCGCACCAGGGTCGAAACACATGGCCACCACGACAAAAGACACGTTGTCCTGCGAAGACGCAGCTGCGATTCTTGGCGGATTCAGAGCTCAAGCAAGCCTCGAACTTCTTCGGGAAGAGCTGGGATGCACACCGGCAAGTGCTTGTAACATCTCCCACGGAGCACTGTTCGAGAAGATGGACAGTTCGATTTAACCGCTAGAAAAATAGTTTACAGAAGCCCGAAGAGTCTTGGGGGTTTCCGCACCAGCTACCATATTCGTGCCCGTTGGTGGCTGCCGGTGCTAGTCGTGCCATTCAACTGCAGGTCAAAACGATCATCTCGGAAAGGCGTGCTGGTTGAATCCGCGCGGCGCTCAGGTGGCCGCTTGTCAAGGTCGACTAAAGAGGCTACTTATGGTTGAAGTGAAGGGTGCATGCGATATAGAATGCAGCCGGGTGAGGTGAGCATGCCTAGAAGCGTGAAGTGCGAATCAGCTGAACGCTCAGTGACGGGCGACTTCCTACAGGATTGCGGACCTGAGGATGCAAATCCAGGTTGGATGGTGTGTCTCCTTGACGCGGGGCGCATTTCGTCGCAAGAGCGAACCTGAACCCAAATAGAACCGATATTTTCCACCAGTCGTCGCCGCTTTCGGATGAGTAGTTGACTATTGAGTTCTTTCTGACGCCGATGCTTCATTGTTCAACATCTTCCGCTCTTGTGGAGTAGAGCGCTCTCTACTAGAGTGGCTTTCTCCTCTGGCGCCTTTCCATTCTGCCGATTTATGAGCGTTGGAAAATCTCGATGACACTCACTCACCACTGGACGGGGCCTCGATCGAAATGAATCTGCGATAGGCGAAGACCAGCCAGGTTAGCGCGTCGAGGAAATCAGAGTGCCGGTTGGCCCAGTTTCGAGGACCAAACAGAATGCCCCGGTGACTAATCGCTCAGCTGTGTCACCTGCCATTGCCTTCTGAGGCCTTGGGAAGCTTGCCTCCATTCCATTATCGAATATGCAATTCCAAAGCCGAATACCCGGAGCCACATGACCTTTGTAGGATTAAGAGTCCTTTAAGTTCTAGACCTGTGTCGCTTTACTAATCCATCTGAGGGTGTCGACCAGTTTCAACTCGGCACTAATACGGACAGTTGGTGAACCATTTCGTCTCAGGCGTAAGTAAAAGAACAGACCAACAGCCGCAACGCCTCGAATCGAAGACCCTAGACATTGCTTCCAAGCCAACCACATCCCAATAGGTGCCACCCTGATGGCAGGACGCTCTATGTTTGAGAACTGTCTGGCTGCGGACGTTCTTGCCAGTTTGCGCGGCAGGGCAAGCGGCTGGAGTGAGGATGCTGCAGGACAGAGGCTGGCGCGGCTATCGATCAAAGTGGATTCGAGCAATCGAGCCAACCAGGGTGGATCTTCCTCGGATGAGTACTGGATTTCGGGGGATCACCTGGGCGGCAGTCTAGCTGTTGAGAGCGCACTCCCGATAACAATCACTCGTGCCCGAATCAGCCTGGAAGGTACGTTTGCATTGTCCCCAAACAAATTGAAGCTCAAATAGTGACAATCACTGCGGGTGTCTGCCGTATCCACACGAGGATCTATAATCAGGACGGTCAAATTCAGGCAGTTCCGAAATTGTTCGCCTACAAAGTATATGTTATGCTCTTCTTGGGTAGATTTCGGTAACAAAGAACAGTTCCTATCACAAGTACACCAACTGGACCCTCGCGACTTCTGCAGAGTTGTAATAGACGGGAGCGGCACAAAAGCTACGTCTGCGCACTTTGCTTTCTCAATTTCTCATGCCGCGTTGACGAAAGCACCTAACGTTCCTCAGCAATGCCTCCAACTTCCACCGTCCATGACAGTTGGGGCTATATTGCAAGACGAGAACAGTGGCCTTGACTACGCGCAACCCAAGATCATATATTCTCTGGTCGCCAATGTTGAGATCCGGTCTGGTAGTGGTCACCAAATGACGATTTACGGGAGCAAGGAGGTACCCATCTGGTTGTTCTCAGCTCCTAGCCCCCCGGTCGACACCAGAGACTTCCCTGCAGAGTTTGTCGAAGAGCTTTACCATCCATGCCGGCCGAATCGATTTCGCAAAGAGACATTCTTGGTAACAGTGTCTAGTGCGGAGCCGTCGCCCGTCCGGTTCGATAACAGAAGGACACGCGGCAACGTTACTTGCAAGGTAGTTGTCACTGTGGCAGACACACGGTTAGGGTCCGACGTAGACCGCTTATTGGAACTGTCTCCGAAAATCCGTCTCAGTGTCACTCCAGCGCTGCGGATCAAGACGTTCTACTCGATGTCACCTTTTAGTAGGATGCCTGGGCAGACCATGTTAACCACGACAGGACGCATCAGGCTACACGACGAGCTCCGCACACTCCCGTCTATCTCTTACTCCAACCTAGGGTGGCATAGCAATCAAGCCGACGTCGACGACCATGAAGCCCAGTCGCTGGGTTCCGCAGTGTTTGCTACCGTGTCGATGGTGCTTCCGATACCGCCGGGCCTACCGCCATCATTCTGCAGCGCTGTAGTGTCGCAACAGTACAGCCTCATCATGCAATGCAAAATCAAAGGGGTCCAAGTAGATACCTTTGGGCTCGAAGTGCCCCTGCAAATCTTCTACGACCGTTCGAAATCTGGCCAGAAGCTCGAAAATGGTATGTCTGGATCTCCGCTCGTTGCCGATTCCCTGGAGAGATCGATCTCTCAGCGATCTGCGGATCGACTTGAGGGTAACGGCGCAGTCAGCCCCACTCTGCAGCAGGACCATAGGCTGTCACCACCCGATTATGGCCTATGACACGTGGTCAAGTGCGAGCGACGAGCATGAACACTTCATGAGGATCACAGGTTATCTAAACCTATTCAACCAGTAGCTTCGCTACCTCGGGTATACTGTATGTTTAGTCTATCAAGACCAATGAAATCTTCGCTTCGGCTTTTTGGGAGCGCAATCCAGCAGTGCGAATGGTTGACCACGCCACATTGGCTGTTGTTTTCGTCCAAGGATGCTTCGCTGTGCTGGTGGCCGAGAACTTAGCAGAGAAAACACTACCAGAGCCTGTAGTGGTCAGGCGAAGCAGGCGTCGCCTTAACCTTTCGTTGACTCTCGCGTGCTCACTTCAAATTGTGACAAAAAGCGATGCGGATCTCCCCCACCCGATCGGTGCGCAGTGTGCTTATCAAACGCCTCGCCAGCAGTTGACCATCCGTTGAAACCCTCCGTAAGCACTAGACTCTGGATTTGTCCCTCGAGTTTATTCCTTTTGATCTCATCATTAAACAGCGCTGCGGCACGGGGCCCACGGCCGGTGGAATGTCCTACAAAAGTGTCTCAGTCCTCTTGGATTGTAGTACTGGCCAGAAACTGAGTTTGTGGGGTGCATCCTCACCACAATAGAATATGACGCGATCTATCTTGCCTCCAATACAGATGCGAATCAGCGTCGGTAAGCTTTGGAAAAGTGTTTGTATAGGCATATTGACAGAACCAGCGATACTTGAACCCTGCATCACGGTGAGTGCTGATACACCACATCACACGAGCTTGTTTTGCACGTGGCGTGTCCTCTCACCTGATGGTCTTCTCTGCGGACATCGACAAGAAGGAAGCCGGTTCCAGGTGTCTGACCGGCTTCGAGCAGATTCAGAATTTCGTGTCGCATAATAAATTTCGGGTTGCTGCAGCTAGCCTGCGGGACTATCACCTCCCAGGGGATCGATGAGCCATTACTCATCCTTGTTGATTGGACTTTGGTCGACAAGGACTTGCTAATATTGCGACGGTATAGCAGCGGGGTGAATGGCAACGGCACTGCACCTGGGACTGACAGAAAGTGTAACGCCCGACTTGAAACGCACTTGGCCATCTGGGAGGCAGCGATATGAATCAGATCGAAATGCAAGCAGCCTTCGACAGGTAGCCTCTCTGTACATAGTACATCCTAAGGCTTTAACCTCAAGGTTGACAGGGGTACGACTTCTGCCAATGAGAATCGTCGAGTGACAAACCGGCCAGCGTAGGCAAGTCACACTAACAAAACACCCGAGTGGTAGGTCTCCAATCATGTTGCTCGACACGCCTGTCGAGCGCCCTCCACCCTTGCACGTGGTAGTGCCTTGGATCTCATTTCGAGAGATGCTCGGCCTGTTTCTTTAGTATGAGGGAGCTGAGAAGTGTCAGGTTATGTGCAACGCCTCCAAAAGTAGACTTACTAACGCTTCAGAGGATAGTGAACCCCAATCCAAGGGCTCTGAGGCATGCCATGTTCATTTTACGCTAAGAGAAGGCGGGCTATTCAGAAGTGGATGCACCTAGCAGAGCGTTATTGGTGGGCGTTTTCAGCCCGAACAGATCAACTTTTATTGGAATCCTCACCATTCCGATTTCTCTCTACCATTTTGGTCCCAGTCAACGTGTTTGCGCTTCGACTTCAAACGCAATTTCCGCCGCTAAGGTGTCCGCGCGTTCCTCGGCTGCGTACTCGTTGTAGTCAACCTCGTCAGACTAGGGAGTCTTAGAAGCGGCACTACCAGCGCCGGCGGTTTCCCTGTGTCTTGTACTGAGCTCAGAGGAAGGTTTGGTACAGCATGATGCACACTCGCCGTCCGCTACATGTTCTTTATAACATTCAGATCTTTGTTGGTGTCGGAGATGAGAATATATGTAGAAGTATGCTTAGCATAGCCGAATTCGTCGTCAACGTGGACGGTAATCGCGCACCTTTGAACCCAGCAATGTGAAGGTAGTGTTTATAGTCCTCACCTTTGCTTACTCCAGTGACACATCTAACATAAAGTGATATGTCTTGCCTAAGAGCCGGGGTGAGATCCTTCTTTAAGAGGTTGTCGCTGATTGCCAGTCTGCCTCCTCTTTTGAACAGTCTGGCCATTTCGTTGAACGCCAGCTGCTTCTCGGCCTGTGGTATATATCATTCAAGTCCACGCCGATGGCTCTCCCTGTTGTGCCATTCTTCTTTTGAGGCTAGAAATACATCAAACCCAGCGCCACTGCCCGAATCGATGAGTTTCGCCCTAATGGAATGTCAGCATCCTCTCACCTGCACATTATCCCAAACTTGTTTCTTTTAGGCCTGCAATCACCAGCGGGTTGCCGCAGCTGAGACCTAGGTTGGCATGCTTGGGGATACTTTAGAGCTCTGCTTTAGAGTATCCGAAGGATTCTGCAACTGCCGGCGCATATTTATTGTCCGATTAACCTCTGGAGGCAGCACTATATAGCTCCTGAACTGCTCGATAAATCTCGGTGGGATTCATGGCGGACTAGTCTCCGAAATCGTCCGGGGTCTGTTGAGACGTTAGTAATGATTTTATTTGGCCAAACACTGGATCGCTACAAGCTTAGAGCAAGCTTCTTGCATTCATCATCCTGATAGTCTACGATTGAGATTCTAGGCGAGCTTTGGTGAGTGACATCCACAGTGACATATTGCCAAGACCTTTAGCGCCGTAAATCTTGCCGATGACATATCAACTGTGACGTCGGTGGCTACGCTTTCCTCGAAAGCGTCTAGGATATGCACCTGTGACATGTAGTGCTCATCAATGCTGGGTTCCCGAACTTTGCATCTTGTACTTGACTACAATCAGCAGCCATGGACGACCAAGCCGCTCCGCGCATTGGTAACCTGACCAAGACTCCAACGCATACTTTGATCCGCGTGCGAAACAACCAGCGTCGACATCGGCAAAGGCGACGGGAGTACATTGCATCCCTTGAACGGCAATTAAAAGCCGTGGAGGAGACAGCTAGACAGCTTAATATCGAAAACGAGGCTCTGCGAAAACAGCTTTCATCTCAAAGCCCCCCAGCATGGGAGACAAGTCTGTCCACAACTATGGCCATCTCTGATACGAACACAGCCACATACCATAAATCTACTGACGCTGGTCAATACCGAGAACCATGGTATAAGCCCTCACACTCCGAAGTGACAGCCTCCGGGTGTGCTGCACGGGTCACCATCGCGGAAATGCAACCAGGCTCGACACGACCACAAGTCCAGACTGAACTGAACGACGGCACCAGGAACAATGAGAAGTCAACTCCTCTACTATCTCCAATTGTGCCGCCGACATATGCAATTCCACCTTTAGCAATGCCAAGCACTTTTGCCTGCTGCTCAAACACATCGTCAGAACCGGGCCTTTTTGGCAAGGGTACAGACCGGCCTGGCAATCAAATCTCGCGTCTCTTGACCAGTTTCGACATCGCCACATCGTCCACGACGCCGTGCTCTCAAGCTTATCTCATCATCCAGTACCAGAATCGTCGCGGACTTTCCTTGGAGGTGATAGAGAGCTGGCTTTGGCCGGGTTTCATATACGGTGAAGAGACCGCCGTAAGTGGATGTCGCGTCGACAACCGGCTACTCTTGGCACTCTTAGTGTATGTCGCCGATTATGCAGATGCCGAGACTGGTGAGGGCGCCGATCTTTCCTAAGGGGCGTTTATCCAAACACGATAGACACCTGGTGTAGTCGATCGTATGTCAGGCTTTAATGCACCAGACAGCACCTGTATCAATGCCTGTAGACTCTCGTACTTTGCAATTTGCGGCATAACGGAAGGCGACCTCACCCCGCTCTCCAAAATTGGCAACTGTGTTGTGGGGCATCGAGCTCCCGACCAGCCTCTGGTGACATATCGTACCAACTTGGCTCTAACATATAATCTCATCACATAAAGCCTCATGGTAGTCTGCTGAGGCTACCTGTACGCAGATACTAAGTCTTCCCACATGGATGAAGAGAACCCTACTCGGTCACCTGGCCCTGGGCGCAACAGCCAGTCTACTCCTTCAACCGGTGATTGCCCCGAGGGAGGCTACGGCTGGGTATGCGTCGCCTGCGTATTCGCAATCAACAGCTTCACATGGGGTGTCGTAGCGGTAAGAGTTGGACACTTTTCACAATGTGCAAGCTGTTTGCTGATTTGGGGCCAGGCGTACGGAGTCTTCCTCTCCTACTACCTCTCACAAAACTATTTCCTCGAAGCCCAAGCACGAGACTATGCGTTCATTGGCGGACTGAATTTTGGCGTCGCAATGATTGCCGCTCCATTGGTGACTGTGGTGGCCAAATCCATGGGAACCAAACCACCCATGTATGCTGGGGCGCTGTTCTTGTTAGCAGGATTCGTCTCCGCATCTTTTTCGACCCGGATCTGGCATGTGTATCTCTCCCAGGGCGTTCTGGTCGGACTGGGAGTCGGTTTTGTCTACGTACCTAGCATTCCGATTATATCCCAATGGTTCGACAAAAGGAGGAGCCTCGCAAACGGAGTCAGCACTGCTGGATCTGGCATCGGTGGCCTCTTATTTTCTCTTGCTACTGGTGCCATGATCGAGAGCCTCGGTCTTCCGTGGGCACTCAGGGTCATTGGCTGTATCAGCTGCTGTACCAATCTGCTGGCTACGTTCTACATTAAAGACCGAAACGCCTTCATACGACCAAAGCAGCGACCCTTTGACCGCAATCTTGTGCGTCAACGGAGCGTCCTATGGCTCCTAGCGTGGGCGTTTGTGAGTATGTTGGGTTATATCACATTACTCTATTCTCTGTCCGACTTCTCGCTCTCCATTAATCTGGACCGAACTCAAGCCACGAATATCACGGCGTTGCTTAACCTGGGGACTGCCATTGGCAGACCCTGCATCGGTATCCTCAGCGACCGTCTGGGAAGATTCGAAGTGGCGAGTGGTCTCACCTTTCTCTGCGGCCTGTTCTGTCTTGCGCTCTGGGTCCCAGCGACATCCTATGCACTCATCATAATGTTTGCTCTTGTTAGTGGAGCAATCCTCGGTGTTTTCTGGGTAGTCAGTAACCAATATTGTTTGTGATCAAAGCCTTTACTAACAGCTGAGATCAGAGTATTGGGCCTCTGTGCGTCGAGGTCGCGGGTCTTGAGCAACTTCCCTCACTTTTGGCACTGTCTTGGTTATCCATCGTCCTGCCCACCACATGCAAGTCTATGATACCAAAGCCGAATAAGAACGTAACTAACAACGCTAGTCTCGGAGGTGATTGCGTTGAACCTGAGAAGGCCGGGCCACAAGCGTGAATATCTGTATACACAGGTATTCTGTGGGGTTTGTTACCTACTTGCCAGTGGGTGCTTGCTGGAGGTTAGGCGAACGGTGAATTCTTGCCGAACAGCTTCAGCACGATCTTAACAGCCCCAGGTAAGACATGTCCTAACGTCTGGACTGCACAAAACAGCTATACGATGCTCGGGATATATGAACGTTTTTGTTAGCGGCTATACAGTAGATATAGGATGTAGCTTACTTGGCTTGCGGCGGATGGAGATACGACATTCCAGTAAGGTTATTGGCCTCATGTTGGAGAAGATGATAAGGTATTGGGGCTTGAAGTCAATGGTTGGTGTTTTCATTCAGGTTAGCGATGTTGCTATTGAAGTGGCTTTGCGATAGTCAGCCCAGGTGCACCAGTTGCCCAGCAACGCTCACACTGTCATATTATTAACCTGGCCTGTAAAGCTTTCCTATTTGGTTGTGATATTAGCGCTTTTGAACAGACAGTTCAAGTCGAAGCGAGCGAACCTTTTGGATTTCCAGCGGTGACAGCTGCGCAGGTGTAGTGGCGGGGCGAGGGCCTATTAGCAAGCTTCGTAACCTTGTTATCTTATTAGTTCTTTAACGCTACGGCGTGAGGCAGCTCGTTGTGGGTACTTAGGCGTTGTTCGTCCTTCATTCAATTGGGAGTAAATCATGAATCCATTAAGGACTCGACTGTAGCGCCACCGGACATCACCAGTGCAACACTGGATACGATTCTACAGTATCTCTTCAATGTTGTGTACCACAAAGACGGGTGATCTTGCCACGACCACATGAAGGTGTGGGTTGTCTGCTCTTAGCGAACTGGGGGTCAAGATTGATATGTTCAAATGACAAACGAAGATAAGAAACGAGAGTCTTGGCCGTCAAATTCGACTCGTCAGACAATCGCGGGGCGCAAAGGACTGTGTTTGATGTGGTGCCATTTCCGGTCCCTTGCTATATTTAGTGACGATCTGCTTCGGGGTCGGAACAATTCTTGGTCAAAAGACCGGCCTTGGCACGTAGGGACCAACTTTCACATAGGGATGCACGTTAGCTCAATGGCAGATTTGCTCGAATCGGTGCAGTAGACAACAACGGGGTGGAATGCTGTGTCGCCCGTGGCTGAAGGCAATCACTGCCAGAGTACTGTCCTTCAATGGATGGCGGAGCCAGCGGAAAGAGGTAGCTCCGCAGATCCGGCTGCAGTAAATATGAGCTAGAGCATTCAGGGAATACGAAGGGAAGGCTGCGGTGCTGTTTTCGAGATATTATTAGACGGCCCGTGCGAGAGCAGTGCGAAGTATTCTGGATTTCACCATCGAAGGCCCAATGCATGATCACATTGGCAAATGGAACTCGGGCAAGGACTTTCCATCAATCGCGCGCATAGTGTGGCAGGGTTGTAGATCAGTGGCAATGGGAAGGCTTTTGTCGCAGACTCGTTGTAGACTCAAGGTCGACGACAGTCGCCTCTCGATTCGTAAATGCTGTCTCGCCTTTAAATTCGGCCGCCTCGTATATCTGTCGATTCAGGACTTGCCCACAGGTGATTGAGATGAGCAAGACGAAGCTAAGAGCGGATCATCTTCCTGCAGCCCTCTGTTCAGCGGCATGCAACAGTATGCGGCCACAAGGAGGCCAGGGCAGTGCAGACTTCGTCGCGCGTCGCATGGCGTCTCCAACTTTTGAGGCGCCTATCGGCAACACAAGAATGGCTGCAATAGATAAGTTATCAAAGCAACACACTGCGGTTGCATGATGAGTGCTCTTTTGGGGCGGCTGTTTGGGGTTCGCCGATAAGCGCCCAGCTGGTACTGTAGCCCCATGCGACCACGCTCTGCGCCTCCACCAGCGGCACCTCGAACCCAGTCCACTGCTTGCATGGCCAAGCATGCTGCAGGGTCTCTCTACTGCGCCTCTCTTGTCGGCAACGGCCTGTAGATATAGAATTGTAGAAGTGCAGGTGAAAATACAATATTTGGAGATGGCACACTGTAGGCTATGGAGGAGAACATCTGGCTACAACGTCTACTTTACACGACAGTCTGTCACCTTCTCAATGTCTCTTATCACAGAACCCTACTTGAACGTGGACGGAGGTATAAGATCGCACTCGGAAGACTACTGCATCATCGATGCAGACGTGGAAGAGCAGCGGAGAGCAGCCCTAGCACTACTCACCATGCGAGAATTCTCAAGCCGCACGCCCATTGACGGCCACAGCCATTCATTGGACCACTTTCTCTCAAATCCCACAAGCCTCTCGAGGCCATCCCGACCAAGTAGACACTATCTGCAGGTTCCCACGCCGCAGGACATACAGACAGTCCGCTCACCTCGCACACCGCACACCAGACAACACCCGCTCCGCGCTCACCCCACCCATTCTCCCTCGGCAAGCTCCACGGCGAGCTACAAAAACTACTACTCTTGCGGCTTCGACCCCAGCATCAGCACAGCATCCACCCAATCCTCAACATCCACAGCCTTCGACCACGACGCCGCACCTGCTGTCCCCAAGCCCAGCATCAGCGTCAGAGTCAACGACATCTCACTGCCCATAAACATGCGGGAAATCCTCACTGAGCTACGGTCTCTGCACCTCCAGCTCGAGAGCATCCACCAGACACTCCTGGGGTTGGGACTGACAGGGGAGCATACCTATGAGGAACCCTGGTCGATGGAGCCTCAGGCGATGAATAGAAGTCGCTCAGAAGACGGGATGGCGTGTCATTGGTGGCAGCCAAGGAGGCGGTGGAGAGAGGAGAGTTGGTTCTGAGATGCGTCGCAAAGAGGAGGGCAGTGAGTGTTGGTGGAGTACATCCGTATGGGCGGGCGAGAATGGCGACGCCGCACCTCGTAGATGAAGTTGAATGATACCTCTGAGGTTGCAACTCTTCCACGAGTACTGCTCTCGTAATAGCGATCGTTTGATCTTTGTTTGAATTCGGCACAGTCCTAAGCCCTAGGTGACAAAGCTGCATTGAGAGGTCCCGCGCCATGCTTCCTCACTCACATTTACAGCAGGGGCCCGCTCATCGCCTCACCCACTTCCGCCGCCACACTCGCCCTACCAATACCTGCAGCGGTCGACTAGAGTAGAACCAACGGGAAAAGGCATGCTGCGATCGTAGGGTTGATTGCTGAAGTCCTGTTGGTCTCATCCCGTGCTGCACTGTCACTGTTGACGTCGCCGTTTTATCAGTGGTGGGTTATTGACGCTCGCTAGGTGCACGGACCACAGTGACCACTTGTCTATTGTGGCCCGTGCACCCGATGTATGAACTTCGTGGGACAGACATTGCAAAATATATGACCAGTCGGCAAGAATGCAACGACCAGGTATTGCAACTCAGGGCAATTTCAAATTGAACTGGGAGCACTGCTTTTTGGCTCATGAGCGACGGCTACATCGCAAGATGCAATTTTCCGGCGTGGCGACCTTTTTCATATCAAACTCTATGCCAAAGCTGGTGTCGCAGTAGGAGATGACGGTTACAGTACAGAATATGGACGGGTGGCGATGTCGAGTTCGTGGGACCGCGTGGCGTGGTGACCAACACTTTGTCTCGGCGCCAGCTTCCGCCCCAGCTTCTACACACCTCCGACTGAATCCGCGTCCTGACAAGCACCGTGCGCCCGATACTCCAAAGATTGTTCCTCTCAACCAACACCATGTAAGCAATTATTGACACGTGTGACCGCCATACAACTGAGTGGCTCCCAGCCCCAGACCCCTGTAGCCCCATCACTTCATGGCGACCTCGGCAGGCGCGAGCGGCACTTGAGCCAGCTCTGCAGTGACACCATCGACAGGAAGGACCACCAACGTTGTACCATGAGAATATATGATGCGGGCTCAGCAGCTCTCACTTCTCGCACGCCACCACCCTCGATGTCCTTTCTCTGGAGCCCTGCAACACCTTCCCCGAAAACTGTCCGCACACACATCCCCCTGCCTCCCCTCCCCCCTCCCCCTTCGCATGTTATCTCCCCCTCCTCCGATGCCGCCTGTCACCGCCTCTCCTCCCGCACTGATAAGTAGAACTCCTCCCCACACCCCTCTCTTACCCCGGCTACTAAACCCTCAACCTCCACCAACACCACCAGCCCCGCCACCCTCCTCGTACCACACTTCACCACTGTTGAGTGCCTCTGCCGCGAAGGAAAGCTTGGCAAAGCCACGCACATGGGCCAAAGTTCCTGGGGGTTTACTATTTACTGTCGTTTCTCGTGCGGAGGGAAGAACTGCGGCGGAATATTCGGCATGGAAGGGGTATGAGGTGATTCACTGCTTTGGTGAGTTGAGTTGAGGATGGAGTTTGCGGAGGAGATGAGGATGTTGGTAGGTTGTGGGGTGGGTGGTGTGATCAGGCGGGATTCAATGGCGGGAGGTGCTGACGCCATTGGGGGCCGAGAGTGTATAGGAGGGATGGGGAAGGATTGGTACCATTATTGGCGCCGGGGGGGGGGGGGATTTTAATGGCTTGGTGAGGATGTTGTCGGAGGGGTTTGGAAAGAGGGCGGTGTCGCCGTTCGGCGGAGTAGGTGGAGCGGGGGGGTGGAGATGACTTGTGACATGGTACGGGGATAGTATGTTGCATGATGCGGAGAGGTATTGTGATAGGGTTCTGGTGGCGTTGTTGGAGAGTTGGTTGTGGGAAACCGCGATGCTACAGTAACAGGATTGACACGAAAGGGTTTACGCGGCACTGGCCGATATTCGAGCTCCCTCTAACTGTCCGCCGCGGTCAAGGAATTGACTAGGTCAAATGATTGTGTGTACAGTGTGAATCCGACCAGCGAGACCGACTTGCTGAGAGCCTCTTCCAGACTAGGTCACTAAGAAGTGCTACAGTAAAGGTGTTAACCTCATGAATGATTTGGTGATCTGAGACCTATTGTGTCGAACCCAACAGGTCGTGCTCGCACTTGTGGTGACTGCGAGGTAGAGAGTGCAAGACTGCCCGGGATCGCTCTGACCCCGAACAAACCATTAGACGCTGTGGACAAAGTCGTTCAGCCAATCACAGACCTAGTTAACAAACACCGCAAAGCGACCGCCTCTATACACCAAGCAAAACGATGAGTGTAGCTGCACAGCCACTATCTCGCAGAATGATGGCTGCTAGCACCTGTCTCGGGTTCACAACACCTGACAAAATAGTGGTTGTGACTGCACAGCCACAGCCTGTACACCTCACACAATGATGCGACTAGCACGTCGTCCAGGCTCACGGCACCTTGTGAAATCGCGTATTGTGAAACAGAAGCATGCTTGCAGATTGGTCGATGAAATCATCCACGCATTGTCGTGGCGTGTTCAGGGTCAGAGCGATGCCATTCGAAACACCAGCATCCTCTACCTGAAGAGCTTACATACTCGAGTCCGCGGAAAAAGCTTGAATAACTTCACATGATCGTAGCAGACACAATGGAGACCTTGGCCCGATGTTCAACCTGCCCTGAGTATCGCTACCGTGGTAACCAGTATCGGATGCCTAAAATATGGCGGAGTCGTCGTCGAATCAATTAAGGACACTTGTTCCGCACCCCAGTACAACGGATTCACTGATACCATCTTCACTTTCTATATTGGAGTGTTTCGGGAACGTTTCGCAATCCATTCAGACGTTGTCTCTCCTTGCTCAAACGTACTTCACCAGCTCATTGACTGGCTGTTCAGACAAGGTATCGAAAAATGGCTGAGCTTCAAGACTTAGACCGCTGACAACAAGCTTGTTGCATCCAGCTACTCTATGGCCCTAGTAATGTCGACCTTGTCAGGCCGAACGACTCTCCATTGAAACTTCTTTGATTTCTCATGTTGCGACTCACGGGAAACCGTGTCAAGATGCCGATGGCAGCATTCCTCATTACCATATTGGGTATTCATGCCGCCTTTCTAGGATCCTTTGAGGCCTGACGAGCCGAGTCAGCTTACTGACATGAGACGGTCGTCTCGCCCTCGGGTCCTTTTCAGCGAGTAGGTGCGATTCCGATGGTGTGAGTGAGAGTTTCTGTGTGAAAAGTTGGGTGAAAACTTTGAACCGGTAAAAACCTTGCATCGGTGTTACTGAAGCTGTGGCCTGTCATATGTGAAGTATGCCGCAGAGGTCTGAAGCGACTCATCATTCCTCAGACAGTGGTTAATATCAAGTTGTCTCTCCAGATAAGTTTTGGGAAGGATTCTGCCACACCATCTCCCCTATGGGCGAAATCCTCTCATGGAACCGTCCACAGCCTGCCCCGGAGCTGCAAAGGTGCGGGACAGTTGATGCAAGAGAGTCAGCACTAGAGGGAGTAAAAGAGCCAAAAGATGCTCTAGGATGGGAGAAAAGAATAGATGACTTAGCATTTCGCAGCAAGGCCATAATACCTACAAGTACCTTTTAGAATGTACACTGTAGACTCTACGCCAGTCAAGTGATTATCAGTTATCATGGGGGAACTGTATCAGTAAGAAATATTAGAGCAGACGTAGGTGCTACGCAGTGGCTTGGATAAATGTCTGATTTGACCTTGTAGCAGCTGCTTTCGTACCGCCGCAGCGACAATAACTCGAGCAAGTCGGCCACTGCCATCGCTGTCGACTGCGTAAGAGCATCAGCTAATACCTCAAACGTCGCATACACGTCCCGATAACGAGATTGAGCCTGGGTGGGACGCAACGGCTGCAGCCGCTGCCGCTGTTGCTAGTACACCGCAGGATACTGGTCGAGGCGACAGGGTCCCCCGTGAGATATACGCTCCCTTCTGGATGAGCGCGAGTGGGTGTGACTGCAAAAAAAACGGCCACCTGAGTAGTGTGAGCAATATATTGGCTGATAGGGATGTGAGTGGCCTTCAGTAGCAAGTCCTGTGCCGCATCTGTCCATAGTTTGTCCAATATGGTGGCTAGACTGGTCCTGGCGGACTGCTCGAGAATATGGCTGGTAGTCTAACTTGGGATTTTTCGGTGTTGTCGAGCATCAAGAGCCGCCGCTGCTTTAGTTGGCGATACGTCCTCTATTTGGCAAGCAGCAAAGGAAAAAGAAGACTCCTTGAGTCAATTAGCAGTCAGACTGTATGTAGGAGATGGAACAAGGTGCGCAAGAAATCGCGTCTGCAGGCCTCGAGGAGTATTGTACCTTTCAGCAACTGTGAACAAGTACGCTGAGTAGTGCTGGGTTGTGTTCGCACTCAGGACGATACTGCCAGATCAGATATATTTGACTCGGATCATGCGTTCTATTAGGCAACGTGAAAATTTTCAAGCGTCTTACTCGCGTCTCCAGCCACGAGAAATTTATCTACAAATTATCGAGCATAGGTTTTCTGAAGGCTTGTTGAAGACTCGCTGAATAACAAGCGCACGTTGGAATGGGTGGTGGGGTGGTTATTTAGCGACGTCATCGGACGAGACTGGTCCTGAGCATTGAGTATCTCAGTGTAATTCTACGCAGTCTCCATGAACCTTGCGGGGAGATTGAAGGTGGAGGAGGGTCCTGAAAGTCATGAGCACGGCAGCGTTTTTCTCGCACATCGTCGACGGAGTGCATAAACCGGTCACATGAGCTCGATTAGCTACTCACAATTGCCCAGAACGAAGAGTGAAAATCGAGGCGTTTGGGCTGCTATGCGGAAGGCGCTGGAGCCCGACATCTTCGCCAAGACTGCTGCTGCCTGGTCCATCACAGGCGCCGGCAGCTGCGCCCCCGCAGTCTTGGCGTCAGTACGCGTTTCACGGCAGCCCAGCGTCACTCTTATCCAGTCCATTTTCCTGCATGAATCTCCTTTGTTACAATTGACGCGTTGTTGCGGACATTTCTACGAAGAAGCTACACGAACGCTTCATGTCGAGAATGTGATAATCGCTAGATATGGGAGTATGCTCCTCATTGCCGCCTTGTTTTCGTGGCTAACAGATAGCACAGACCTGCAATCCCACCAACTGCCTCATTACTCATGACTTCCATGATTGTCACAATCGTACGATAGCAGCGTTCCAATGCGCGTGTTGCCCGAACGGCGAATCTCAGCATCGTGGCCAAGTTACGCAGGACCCGCGGGACGATCCTGTTGCTCCGGTGCGGGTGCCCAGAGCTTGCTCGACCTCCACGAAAGAGTTGCGTGGTTGCAAAAGGAAGCGAGGAAGCGAATTTTCCCAGGACACTCATATCGCGGAGTGGTTGCATTGTCTTCCGGAAGGTGCAGACGACTTCGATATGAGTCAACCTGCCGCAAAGAGGCACCGATCACAATCAAGGGATAGTATAACTACCAGAACATCAGAAGGAGGAACGGAGAGCGCTATATCACGGGAAACGAAATATTCAATTTATCAAGATGGAAGATATCCCGCACTACTTGAGAGCCAGGGGAGCTACATGCGCGAATCACCTTCTGGGTTGCTTCCAGAGGAGCTCGCGTACTGCGATACTCTGTTCACGGATCCTGTGACCCTACCAGCAGAGCCCCTGTTCGAAGCAAGTCGATTCCGAGGATTTCTTGGTCTCTTAGAGAACAAGTCGGAGCTACGTATTTGCGTCGATCTTCACCCCCGGCTGGTCCCTTCGGCAGAACTCCTGTCCTTGAGCGACCATGGAAAGTTTGGTGAGATAATCGAAGGATACAATGATCGATGGAACAAAGCGATCTTATTCTATAAGAAGCTCCCGCAGCCCGATCGAACGGTGGCATTTCGTGAGTCTGCACTTACGCCCGAGCAGCGGCACAGGCTTGGAATTCTGCCTGAAGTGGAGTCCTATTTCTCTGTTCGAGAAGGGATGTGCTTTCCATTCCTCACCTGCGAGGTCAAGTGTGGGAAGCAAGCACTTGATATCGCTGACCGGCCTAATGCAAACAGTATGACCATCGCGACACGAGCCATGGTCGAGCTATACCGTTTGACGGGACGAGTAGGCAATGCTCACCGCCGAGCAGCCTGCTTTTCTATTTCTCATGACGATAAGTGTGTCCGGATCTACGCACATTATGCGGAAATAGATGGAGGCGAACCGCAGTACTATCGCCACCTTTTGCGCTCCTTTGACTGCCGTGACAAGAACGGGCATGATCGATGGACTACGTGGACTTTTGTCATCAACGTCATCAGCAAATTTGCTCCCCGTCGCTTGTCTGCGATTCGTTGCGCCATTGACGAGATTCCGACATCTTCGGCGCAATCCATGGATTCCACCGTGACAGCAGGTGATGCTGCCAGGGACAGCAGTTCTCAAGAGATTCCATGCACACCGTCCACTTCTCAGCAAGATGATGTCTTTATCAAACCATCTTCGTCTCGTGGGCGGACCACCGTGAAGCAACAAATCCAGCAGTTGCAAGATGCTGGTGAAGCACGCGAGCGACGCCTCATGGAGCAGCTTGAACTGCAGTACAAAGGGCAAATCGCACAACAGGAGCAACGCCATAAGGAGCAGATTGCTCAACAAGAGCAACGATACAAGGAGCAGATCGACCTGCTCAAATCACTTATGCCCGGACGCAGACCTTAGCAGTAATACAAATCTGAGGAGAGGTCACTAGCTACTTTGGTGGCAACTCATTTATGCTACACTGTGGCCGATCCACCCGTCGAACTGCAGGCACACACGTACTGCAGCCTACCCAGGAGGTGGGGTTTTCCGGCTTCTCACGACAGGTTCTGCCAGCGCAGCTGGCTAATTGGCAAATGAGTGCATTCAAAGGCTGTGGAGCGAGAGGGACAATTGATTATGATGATGGCGACGACGATGATGACGATAAGATGATGACGAATAGCATCAACAGTCGCATGATTGGCGGAGCTCAGGAGAGAATGTGCTACTGGCTTGCTTTTGATGTCAACAAGGCTGGGATACACTGCAGCCTGTCAGCATTGGCCTCGATGAGTTCTTGCGTCATGGGCTGACTCAGAGACCTTTCGTACACAACAGCAGGGAAAACAACCCATGACTAGTTTAGTGGTGAGCTCGCCGACTCCCGGAGGTTCGAGACCATGCGCCTGGTTCTTATCGATGAGTGCAGAGCAATTTTCTTCCTCAACGACACTTTCTTTGCATGTTGTCTCAGAGGCCATGTTCCGACAGCGCATCGTCCTGACTCTACACTTCTCCTCACCAGCACCCCGATCTTCCTACTCCTCCTCGACCATTACTTATCAAGAACTGTCCAGCCAACTAGAGGCCCAGATAGGGCATAGCATGCCCATTTCAATCCGTCCCAGATACCGCTCATCGCAGCTTCTCTGGCCACATGCTCTGAATATTCCTCCGGGAATTTCAGCCAATGAACCAATTGATACCCTGTTGTTCGAAGTGTGGTCGTATCAGCCTCCATAAAGCGAACCAAGACCTCCAGACGACGGAGAAGGGTTTGAATCCTTGGGTCCGGATTATGATGAGCCTCGTAGTCCATGATCAGGTGAAACTGGTCGAACTTTTCACCCGGTGTCTTTTTGTCCCAGTTAAGTCGCAGATCCAGGATTTCCGAACGGCAGGAAAGCTTCGGTACTATCAGACGAATAGAGGGCTGTAGTTCAACCTTGATCTCATCCATAAGAGAGTCTCGATTCTCAACGACTTGAGCATCCTTCCACTGGGGCATATGCGAGACAAAAAAATCTAGCTTGGAGAAATCCATTCTGTGGGACAATGGGGCCTGCTCATGCTATTTAGACAACAGTGAACCACTGAGCGAACTTGCTAATATATAAGTTCTCTGTGCTTGGAACTAAGCCAGACGTTGACCAGGATGTTTGATGATTATGAGATGCACACACCGGCTAAAAGCAGTTACTTGCTAGTTCCTACGTGCCGGTCACACTCGTTTTCACTCTTCTATGTAACCTGGTAACAGATGTTGTCACACAATGCTGTACTCTGCAGGAATCGAGGAGGTTGCTACGGGGTTCAAAGCTAGGATCGCACAACCACGCGACCTGCAGCAAATTATGGACACCTCGACCAAAGCCAAGTCCGTCTCGCCAGAAGTCTCGATCATGCTTGCTTAGCTGCAACCCACACGCCTACATAACAAAGCCTTCGAGCGCAAGAAGCAGCCTCTCACATATCGTGCTATATCTTGCTCGCAATCACAGTTCGTGTGGTAAAGTCCACAGCCAACGGAGGAGACGGCAGAAAGAGACAGGGAATGGGAGCATGGGTACCATTGCGGGGGGTTCCCATCCTTCAAGTACTTGGGTCCGCTCGAGTACGCTTAAAAGTTCCGGAGGAATATGCAAATCACACTAGCCGCAAAGATTGATATGTAAAGCTGCTTGGAATGGGCATGCCTTGCTCTATCCAGACCGGTACTTGGGTGAGGCCAGGGTCATCGATCTACATGTTCTTCAAACAAGCACTCGCCACAACGAACATGTCCACAATCACAGCCCTCTCGGTTGATTGGAGTCTTCAATTTGCAGTGGCAGCACCAAAGCCGCTTCCGTTGTCTGATTTCTCTGTGGATGTACTTCTGCGTTGATTTGTGAGAATGCTTCGCTTCCTGAACAATGGCTCTCACTTCAAAATGTTGTTGCTGGGCTCCGGTCTCGGGTTTGCGCAGGTTGGCTTCGCTCTTCCTCTTGGTAGGCAACTTTGTTGGAGGATGGAGAGACATTTCTCATTCGACCAAGAATCTAGACTGTTGACACGTCCAGAACGCTGAGAGCAGCGCTCACAATCCAGATAAGGTATGTAGAGCTTTCCTACTGAGAGCACTTCGTCTTTGTGGCCTTTCATGCGCCGATGCTGTCCACAGGATGCTCTGACTTCACGTTGTGGGTTGATCTTCTTAAGCCCTTCTGGCATGTGTTGCGATCGGATAGATGAGACCGTGTCCCTCCAGGCACAAGTTTCGCAAAAGTAGTAGTCGAGGTGGACGCTGCACATAGTACGAGCTATCAGAGGAAGTCTGACATCTACCCAATCCCTTATACCTTTGCCTCGTCCGTGGGCTCTGTCCCTGTTGGAGTGGGTAAGTATGTTGTTATGAGTATATGACCTGACGCAAGACTGGGCTGCTCGTGCTATTTAGACAAACCACCTGAGTGACCCTACTAATATATAAGTTCTCTGTGCTTGGAACTAAGCAAGAAGTTTACCAGGTTGTTTGACAACGCTAAAAGCAGTTAATTGCTAGTAGTCCCTACGTTCGCTTGCCATGTAACCTGGTAACAGGCGTTTCTACACAATGCCGCACTCTACGAAGATGTATCTGCCAGTCGCTCATTCACACAGCAAGGGATAGAGAGTACGGGAAATATACCGCGGTTAATCACTTTATGCCCGATTTTGGAATCTCCGGCCCGAAATATTGGACAATAATTGGGGGAAGCAGAACGTGACTACTCCATTCACACGTGACAGGTCTGCTCTAGGCTAGTAACTTGGGATCCAGGAGCTGATAAAGAAGATATTGGAGCTAGCAGGGATGGTGCCGCATTCTGAAAAATGCGGCACCATCCCTGCTAGCGCAATCGCAAAACACCCATTCAAGCTTCGATCCACAGCAACTCTGGGCTGCGTTGGGGGAGGATGGAAATCCTGTTCTATCTCTGCCCCAAGCGATACGCATGAGTGGCATGCAATGCAGAAGGGCAATAATCTTTCCTGTCGTGATGGTTAGGGATATAGCACTTAAAAGACTAGAGTAGACGGAGGAGGAGGAAGCGGTCAAGGCGACGGGGTTGACGACAACCGCATCAGAGGGGGCTGTCTTTGTCGGAGCTTGGCTGTCAAGAGTGACTATCTTGGTCCTCTGTAGACGAATGACAGGCTTTGTTTCCCACACTCTCGCCATGCAAGTCAATATAGGAGTCTCCTTCCAAGTATCACGGGAGAACCTGAAATGTCTCAAGTACTCGAGTTCGTTCAGTTCTCGTTTTCAGACTTTTCTTCACTTTCTCATGGATGACAGAGTTGATCAGTCCAACATAGTAAGACCGCCTGTCCCACAGCCAAACTTCGCATTTAACCACGGCTCGTACAGAGTATCACCGGTCAACTGCTCGCAATTCTTCTTCCTTTCATATGGACAGGGAAGCTTCCATCAGACTCGCAAGATCCGAGTTGGAATTTTCGCCACGTGACGCCACAGATTGTTAATCGACTGCTGGTACAGTTGGGAGCTAGGCCAGGAACCTACTCCGAGGAAGAGGCTGAAGATTTCATTCACAAGCTCAAGATCGCTTTTCACCAGCCCTTCGCTGTCGATTGGGAAAACCCCAGGGACACGTCTGAAATACTTCTACGTATTGGCCTCTACCTTGTTGCGCTGGGCCACGATACTTCCAACAGAACGACCCGGAGCAACTTGGAGCTTCCCTATCGCGAAATATGCCAGCGCCTTTGTCTTAGTATGACTGAACTTGGACCGGTCTTCAAGGGATGCTGCGATATACTCGGTATTGCGATCAGTTCTCCCTTCCTAAGACAAATCGGCATGTCACCACTCTCCCCTGAGGATAGTGCTATGATTGATCGCGGATTTCGAGCCTTCTATCATGATAACCTCTGGTATTATCCCTATGCAGCAACTCAAGACAACCTTGCGTTGACTGTACCGTGGGAAAGAGCTGGTGCTGTGCTGGATCCTTCTGAGGCACTTACCAGTGACGCAATGCCAGTACACTCACTGGGGCCCAAAATTAAGGTCAAGGAGTATGGCCCAGTGGCTAACCCGCGTCAGATCTTGATATGGCTTTCAGGCGGTAAGGCAACCCAAACAGAACCTGTACACTAGCTAACCTGAACCAGGAGGATGGCAATTAGGTGATGTAGACAGTGATACAAACATACTTCAAAAGCTACGCAAAGATTCTATTCTATCTATTATCCACCCCTAGCAGGTGCTAACTAGCTTTAGCACTAGGGTTCCCTATCATTTCTATAGGCTACACCCGAGAGCCCTTCCCTGCTCCTCTTCAAACAACTTATGATGCTATTGACTGGGTTAAGGCTCAGTATGGGGCAGCTGATGTTATTATTGCTGGTGTTTCTAGGTAAGACCAGTTATATCGTATACTGTAGTTGCTAACATTTCCAGTGGCGCTAACCTAGCAATTGTTGCTGCTTTACATCGATATAGCGATTGGATTCAAGGAGTGTGCCTTGTTGCACCTTCTCTTGACAATACTGAGGGTGCGCAGCGAAGGCACATAGGTGTATCTCCTTGGTTTACTACAGAACGTATGGAGTATTACCAACGGTCATATGTGCCTGATGTTGCTGCTCGTCGGGACTGTAAAATCAGTCCAAGTCATACTCCGAAAGAGGTCCTCAGCAGAAGTGCGAAAAAGTTTTCCGTGTCAGTATACATCATGGGCGCGGATATCTTAAGAGATGAGGCCCAAGGCTTTGTTGAGCGTCTATTCCAGCACGGATACCAGGTACGAAGCAAGCTGTTCCATGGATACCCTCATATGGCTACAAATACACAGGGTGTATTGGGCCATCAGCTTCTGACCGACCTGGCGGAAGATATTCAGGCAATTTTTGCCCACAATCTTTGCCCGGGACGCCTGGAAGGGGGGATGGATCACCAGTTTGAGGATCGATTTGACACTGATACCGAGCTACTGCAATTTCGGTTGGAAGGCGCGTCTAAACCACTTGGCTCGGGTTAGGACTGTTTGAGGGTGGTTAGGACAGGTACTAATTGATGGAATCTGATTCGCATAAGCACTGCTTGTGGAATGATGGCTGCTATGGTTCCCACGATGGTTGCCCGACTGACTGATGCTCACGAGAATACCCACTGTGAATCTGCCGGGACTTTGGCCTGCTTGCAGAGATTCCAATCGCTTGCCGTTTACGACTACTCTTGTGATAAACTTGACCTTGCCGTTTACGACTACCCTTGTGATAAACTTGACCTTGCCGTTTACGACTACCCTTGTGATAAACTTGACCTTCGCCAGCTGAGAAGGAGCTGCGTTCAGCCCAGCTTCACGATGTCGTCCTTTGGCAATGAGTGGACCGGCTTGTTGAATGTGACCGCCGGTCTCGCTTGCCATTTCTCTAGTCATTGCGGCGGAGCGTGGTATACGAGCTGCACAGTTACTACACGTGGTTCTTCCAAACTTGAGACCATGTCAGTTACTTTGCGCCGTGGTCGTCAGCGACCCGACTCTGGTTGGCCTATGAGACGGCCGTAGATGTGAAAGTATAAATATCCTCGTTCCCTGCATTGTTTTCCAGATGACACGAGAACTATCGTGCTTCCTTAACCGTGGAGACCTGTGCACTCTGAAGGAATGGCAGATATCCTCTGGCTCTCATACTGCTGTCTGAACTTGATTAGCATTGCGTTGAGGACGCTTCTCATCCTGGCTTTGGTTCTCGTGGTATGCGCTGCACGAGGTGTTACTCGGCGATCACGACCTCAGCCAGCAGTTACCGGCCTAGTGATGAGTATGGTCTTACGCATTGAATTCATTATGGAAGGAGAAACTAACTGCTACAGACGAAGATCGTGTCACAGCCGCTGGCGATGAAGGAATGGAGGAATGAATGCACGTCGCGTGGCTAGAGTTGCCGCTACGGGTATATTTCAGTATGACTGCATCAGGCGATAGTTGGCCACTGCTGACGTCGCGATATAGTTACAGTGTCAAAAACGAAGACGGTGACTATTTAGCAAGCAAAAACCACCGTCTGATTGGTGCTAAATCTCGCAGCAATCGACCAGACATCTTTGAGCTGTGGAGGCTGCCAGCCTTGTGACTATTCCCTTGTTGTTCGACGCGAGATCGTCGTGCATTGCGATGTTAAGCTAGGGAATCTCTTCCTAAGAACTCGGCCACGAAGCCTATCAGATATCACAGATCTTCTTTCTGACTTTGGCAGCTCAACGCAAAGTCAAAAGGAGCAAGATCATACGAAGGGTACGATCGCTTACCTGGGGCCTGAAATCATGGTCCACAAAGGACTGTGTGAGTCCTCTAGGCTAGACCTCGAAGAATGTTACTGGTCTGACAAGAGTGATATACGGAGCTTAGGGCTGGTTTCCTTCAGATGGTACACCGATATCCCGCCAGCGTCTTCACGAAATGCGTGGATGAGGAGCGACACGGAGCCTTTGTCGACGTGCTGAGAAAAAGTTGTAAATGGATTGATGGAATCGTGGAACGCATGATAGCGTGGAAGCCAACGGAGAGGCCTGGTACTGATGACCTACTCCTGGAAGATTGGGATTTCACGCGAACCAGTGTGCAGTCCGTGTTCGTGGCCTAGGACACATTGCGAGGCTCCGCGAATGCACTTCTTGTGATCCTATTCAATCCAATGCCCGTTTTGAATATCAAGCTTGGTCTACCGGCAAGCGGTCAGGATATCAGTACTCCAACATTTCCAACTTGATGGGCTCGCCGATACGCTCTGTCAGATGACTATCTATTTTGTAGATATCCAACATCTTGGTGTTGAGATTGAGCTGTGCTATCTGTATAGAGATAACGTGTTAGTGCTAGGCAATAACTGTGGCAGAATAGACTTAACCGCTTGGGTTGGATATCCCGGTATTATGACTTTGTATCGCAAGATGAAAATATATGGCTGCTCCAGCCAATCCCAGACGTAAATAATCCTGCTGATAGCGGACACTCCAGCACAATCATTTCCGGCTTTAGGACGTGGGGACCTCCAGCATTGACCAATCAGGCCATGTGCAAACTTCCTTACAGCATCTGCAGTCTGTGTATAGAGGGCGTCTGGCCTATGGCGAAGCTCACCTGTAGCGTGTATACGCCTCGTGCCAGGGAGCCTGTAAATAGCACCATCCACAAAGATAGTATGATGCCCATATACTGTAAGGGTTTCCAAAGCTTTCATGCTTTGAAGGAGGTACTTAAACCCAGGCCTCTTGAGCACATCGCAGTGGATATCAATGTGACAGAGCTGAGCAGGATCAACAGGAATATTAAGGCTACCATCGTTGCCGATAGCAAGACTAATGTCGAGATTTGCCTGCTGATAAAGTGCGGTTTTGGCTTCTTGGCCTGTTGTTTTCGAGCAGACCAAAAGACCTATGACAGGTGAATGACTGAGCTTCCTGGTTGCACCAATGGAGTAGAGATAATGATCTTTCTTCCTAGCCTCTAGGTCTGGGAAGAAACGAAGCCGAGCACCAGCGAATACAAAGTGGTAGATCAACGAACGGACCTCTTGTGGCAGCGCCATCAACGACATCGTCATCTCGACAGGAATCAGAAGTTAATCGCGAGTGCTGAAGGACTAGAAAAAGTTTGTCCGGCCAGCAGAATGTGCGGTTGCAGAGGGGTTTGCCAAGGCCGACCCACAGGCCGGTGTGCGGGGCATTCCTTCGCCTCGCGCTATTTCGGGCTCGGCTCGGAACGAAACCTGCCACGAATTCAAGCATAGCTTTCATCGGAGCCACACGGGATTTCCATTCTACAGGGGGCTCGGAGGAACTTCGTCTCACCATCTCGTGGTCTAATTTGATGCCAGATGTCGGCACTATGAGCGATATCACGCCGGGCTATGTTCCATCTTGGCAGCAGGTGGGAAGCGCACGCACTAATATTTTGCGGAGTCAGAGATACCCGAGATACTGCTGCTCACGTCGAGATGGACTACCAGCAGGTTCTGTTGAGTACACCTGTGCAGGAGAGCGTGCTAGCTGCCATGCGCGTGGAAGATATAAGATCCTGGCGGCTGTGCAGTCGACAGTGGGCTGGCACATTATCGTCTCGATTATTCACCGATTACACAGTTTCCAACGTCTTCGAGACGGCCATACCACCCGAAATCATTACCAAAACCGTCAAAAGTCTGACGATCAATATAACACGCAACGACCAGAGCGTGGCGAAAACGGGAATTGTTCGCGAGCTCATTACCAGGGCGAGTCGATTGGAATCCCTGAAAGTAGTAGTGGCTCCAGAAACGACTTCGTTAGAGCATTTGCTTGGCATTCAAGATGAAGCTTGTCTATTTCAATCTCAACATCCGCCACAGATAAGCTCCCTGAAGCATCTCTCAATATGTGGCATCGCGGTTGGTGCAGTCTACCTGAAGGAGTTTCTCTCAGCCCAGCCGAATCTTCAGAGTGTTACTGTCGACCAGGTCATGCTTGTGGGAATACGCTGGTGTGATGTGAAGTTCCCATCACATTTGAAAGTCATCTTTCACGGCAAATTGCGGGCGATGTTAAAGGAGGAAGGTGGTTCTGGAGACTACCCTTTCCTGACGTGGACATGGATCCCGTTGGACGCGGTTGGGGACCGGGATCATGGTCGGTACAGCCAAGAAACTTCTCAATGGATCGACGGAGCCCCAATAATGACCATCTATGACACTGGACGCCCATACGATGATTGTTTTCAGTGCTGTCTCTGGGATCGGGACACGCATGTACCATGTCCACCTGAACAGCGCTTATCAGCCCATCAGAGGATTCAGCGCTTCAGAAACCAGTTGGCGCGGCATTACTGATCTTAGGAGGACCACTTACTTGCGAGAGGCGGTCCGATCATCCCCTCCAACGTGGCCACAATATCTGCCTTCCCCTCCTGGCCGCTTACCTCTCGTCGTCGTCTCGCCCTCGATTTCCTGTCCTCCAACCCCATTCTCGGCGACATCTCTCGCATAGGTGCCAACGATCTCAGCCGGGCGTCACGCTCGAGGACAACCCGGACCGCTTTCCCTCTACCCGACAACATCACCACCACTAAACACCCGCCCTCCCTCCAAAAATCACTTCTAACCGCAGTATGATGGCGCCGCTCCCACGACCCCCGTCTGATCATGTCCCCCTTCTGCCATTCCTTGCCATCTGCGCAATCCGCGTCCTGTCACCGCCGGCACTATCCCCAGCCCACAGTCCACCAGCCCAGCCCATCCGGCCACCAGTATCAACGCCTCCTCTCGGCTCTGCCGGCGCCTCCACCTCCAGACCCTCGCCATCAACGCCGGCGGCCTCGGGTCTGAACTCCTCCGTCACCGATATGCGTGGCGTCACCCATGTCTATCGTCATGGCCAGGTTTTACATGTGCCGGACATGGCTCATGGCGATGAAGCCCGCCCACGGGCACTGACCGCTACGGTTGCACGAAATATCCTTCAGGCAGCAGATGCCTCCGCTGTTATCAGAGTCTTCGAAATCGGGAGTGCTACTGTCGGTGTCATCCTTTCCGTGAAGGGTTGAGTTAGACAACCGCAGGTCGATTGGACGCCTGTCGTTCTGCCATGGGCTTTCGGATTCCGTGTATGGATTGAGACCTCGGTGTCGTTGGATAAAGAGCTGGCGTTGGTTGCCGCTGACAGCTAAAGAGGAAAGGCGGCAGTGGGCGTCACGTGTGGGCCAGTCGTCGTAGATGTATTGCGCCATTGACCATTCACTCGCCGACGATACCAGGCCTATCTGGCAATACATGAGACTGAATATTGTTTGCCGGGAGTTGGCAACTGCGCCTGTGGCGTACCTTTACTGTATCGGGCATATCATAGTCGGGAGCGGGTTGAGAAAATGAGAGGGCTCCCAGTCCAGTGACTACCAGCGGATTCCCCTAGTAAGCAACCGAGTAGATAATATCAGTATAATTAACCAACATCACAGAGACACAATCTTCCCTGTTTGGGGTGTGATATCTCAGTCAAAGCAGATACCTCATCATCTAAACTTATTTACTACAGATGTCCGAGAGACAGCGGCAGCTGAGACGTGCTCTCGATGTTTTTACTCTTTTATCTCTTCAATCACGGGTGACGATCTCAGCCAATTTCTGCCAAATCTCTCCCGTGCTACCTTCCCGTTCAAAAGCTTAACGTCATCCATGAAGGATATGCGAGGAGACGCAAGCAAGTTTCTCCTCCATAGCCAGGCGCATCGAAGGTATCTTTCGTAGTATTGTTTTTCCAGAGGAACATGCGATTTAGAAAGGGAGTTTGACTTGAGGACCTCCAGAAACACAGTCTTCCAGAGTGAAAATACGCCATGTTGTCATGCCGAAGCGTCCCCTTGACGACATTCTCATACCCCACGGCTCCTTAATGTCTGTGTCCATGTGGTTTGACATTGTCATCGCACGCTTCAACTGCTTGGTTTCCTTGAGGGTCTTCAATGTGTCGAACATCGCGTTCCACGGCTGAATGGTCGTTGACTCGTCCGGATAGATAGCAATGATGGTTTCTAGAGTTCCTAAAAGGTTGCCCATACAAGCCAGGTGGTTTGAAGATCGCGATTCCATAAATCTTGTGTCTGTGATTTCCAAAATGTGTTTCAGTGTAGGTAGATTGAACTTCTCCCAAGTTCTCACAGGTACAACACAATCGATCAGCTCAAGTGTCTCTAGTCCCGGAAGAATAAATGGTTCAATTATGACGATATCAATGAGATGAAGATGCTTCAGTTGTTGACATTCCCGCTGAATAGTCGGTGGCAACTTGGTCCACGCCAGACTAAGCACACGTAAACTTGTTGCTGTGCCGGTGTATATAAAAGTCGGTCCAATTGTAGCTTTGACCTCTGTTGGGATATAAGGCGTTCCGTCGCGCGTGACTCTCATCGGATCAAGCGGTCTCCGCTGTGATATGGCAAGATACTTGATCTTAGGCAGTGATCTGAAGTCAAGTAACGGCTGAGTTAGATCGAAGGTATACTCCGCCAATATGTTTAGATGTGTCAACTCAGGAAGGTCTCGAACTGTGAAATGATGAGAGGATGGATTGCGATATGTTCGGTGCAGAACTGTCAGCTTCTGTATTGGGAGACCGGCGAGTCTTGAAACGAAGATGGAAGGGATCTGCAGTTCATCCAAACGCGATAGCTCCAAAGGGGCCCGAATACAACGCAGGGGAGGCTCGATATCGATGCTGTTCGTCCGTTAGACTCCTTGCTGCAATATTGACTAGGTCTCACCGCAAGACGCGTAGGTTCTTTGATTGCGCAACGGCTCGCATCGCCTGATTGTAGGAGTCGGCGCAAAGTGCCTCCAAATCTCTCGTATCATTAAGAAATCGGGTACTCTGATGATTTGCTAGAGGCATCGGAATTACATGCAGCTCTCGTAAAACCAAAGGGTCAAGTTCGAGGATCCTCGAGGTGTCGGTATGAATCAGCCTGGCATAGTGACTGACTGGGTCTCGCTCAATGGAGACATCATTCGCTCGTAATTGAGTCTGTGATCCATCCCGCGACACCATAAAAACGTGCTTGCGGGGATTTTGCACATATTTGAAGGGAAGAAATTTTTTCGACAGTTCGCTGAAATTTAACCTGTCAAACAGAGGGAGCTAAGATAGAAAAATTAGCAAAACTCATCTAGAGGCTTGTGCGGTACTCACAAAATCCATTACTGATCTAATAATCTCCGATGGTAGATCTGTCAAAGAGATCTTGGAATCTTTTTGGCTTTGCCCTGTTCTCGAAAACTTCCTCCTAACCTTCTTCTGCCGTGTAAGCCAATCCAAGCCCAGTCAGTGGCCTGTGCAAATTTGTCATTTTTTGGACTCACTAGCATGGACGGTCTTGAAAGTTCCCACCTGTGGTCGCCTCTTATATGTGCGCGCCATGATGATGGGGCATAAGCAAGAGTGCCGCTCAGACGAGCACGCAGTCCGATCTCTCGGTAATATTGAACCCTTATGTATTTCTTGTGCCACACCTTTTGATGGTGTTGGAGATCTCCCACCTATTGCTACGGGCAGAGAAGGCGGGCGGGTTGCAGTAGGATATCACCATAGGAAACATATGCGAGCCAACGGAGTTCACCTATATCGGTTGGTAGCGCTAAGAGGTTATATCAGCTCCACACACGCGACAACGCTACCTTCTGGTTCCCGTGGGGAGTATCTCGCAGTTTTGTCGCAGGGGCTTGAAATATCAAGCTCCGTAGTTGGGATGAACGCTTTACAGCATGGTACTTTACTGTACTGAACTTCGTTGTGTCGAGGTTGACCGTGCAGCATGGGCCGGACTTTCTGTGGCCCTAAGACACACCACTACAAGCTGTGGGCGATGTCTTTCTTGCAATCACCGGATTGATTGGCTCTCAGCCGCACATCAACCGCCTTTATACTGTACACCTAGCAATATGATGTATGCACAGCCACCCCACACAACCCAGCGCGCGTTTCAGGTTGACAGCTCCTTGTAAAATGACCGCACAGCTGTGCACCTTGCAAAATGATGGGCAGGAGTAATTGAAATTGCGTCGTCGACCAAGCCATACACTACAACCCATCATTCTACAAAGTGTCAAGAGGTGGTCGGCTTACGGTCGCATATTTGAAAAAGAAGCATATTCGCAAGATTGTTTAACAAATTATTCACGTGTTTTTGTGTTTTCGTGGTGTGTTTTCGTGTTCAAAGGGATGCCTATTGCACCATAAGCAATATCTACCTCACATGTTCCCGCGCAGTCGTTCGCGATCCATTCACCACTTGTCTCCATGCAGTCCCGTGTATTTAACGCAATGATCATCTGCTTCCTTCGTTTTGTCGTTCAGGGCTGAGTGCGATGTGGTAAAAGTTGCATGATCTGTGATAAATATAGGTGATAATATTGTGCTGCTTTGCTCGATAAGTGATTTGCAGTACAGCTCTTGGATATTCGTAAAGATCGTGAATGCTATATCTTGCTTCAAATGGACGACCGATACTCAGAACTGAATCACTTGTCTCTGTTGCAAAACAAGTTCTCCCCACCAAGGTTTCTGTTCGTGACTTCTCACCATTGAAATCAGGCCTAGGAATGTGGTGTGAGGCGTGATGAAGATCTAATACTGGAAGTTGATGCTCCAAGAGCTGGTATTTTGATTGCATCATGCTAGGAGATACCTCTTTTTCGAAAGCCAGTCCGAGTCCTTCATAGATTGAATGCCCAAGCGACGGGCTGAGTTGGTAGATCAGTGGTTCTGGCGTCCCTTCAACGATCCATACGTTGGACTGTTGGGTAAGCTTGTCGCCTGGAACCTTGACGATAGACCGATAGGTGTCCTTGTGGGGACTCGAGACGGATTCAGTCGTGGTAAGGATTGATGCGTTGTAGAGATAGAGCTGATTGAACAGATTGATGGGAGAGAAAGCAGAGTTCAGGTTGTGGTGAATCACCAAGAAATATGCAAAGAGCATATTTGAGGGCATTAAAAAGCTTAGGACGCTAAAATCAATCAGCAAATCTCGTCTCAAGTGGCTTTATGAGCCTGAGAACGGTGCCACACAAAGTGAGCTTTTGCAGAACGAAAGCTCATGGTCCAACCGTAAGTCTGCCCACCGAAGAAGAAGGGAACCCAAGGTATAGATCACTGACCTATCATACATCTTCCTTAGCGGTGGTGCCAGAAATTCTTTCGTGCTATTCATTTATTGTAACATTGACCAAGCCTTGCAGCACTATTTGATTGCTCGGTACTGTTCTCGTTTGTCACATACCGTCTGATCTGCACAGTTCTCAGGCATATGGGTTCCCAAAATTTCATTGGTGCTCTGAGCGTTGCTGGGCTTGTGCTCAATCTTGCCTCCAATGGCCTGAGCTCACCTGATATTTCACTGCCCAGAAATTGGCCGTGCGAATCAAGGACCATGAGCGTCACAGCAATCTTCTCGTCCGCATCTGGTGCCACAGGCACTAACGCGTCAGTTACAGCAATCAACATGACCTCCATACCAACAGCGGACGCCCCCATGGATGGAGATCTCCCAACGCTCAGAGGCAAGAAGGGCCTCCCATATAATGATCCTACATATCTTGATCTTATCGAAGGTCGTGGAGTCTCCTGGGTATACAACTGGAAAGCCCTACCTGACGCAACTCTGCCTAGAGGTATAGAATACGTGCCGATGTGTTGGGGCCCAGCATCAGCAGAATTATGCGTTCAGGATATTCAGGCAGCGTTAGCATCTGGTTCGACGCATGCATTGTCCTTCAATGAGCCAGACCATCACCAGCAGGCAAACATGACTCCTGAGACTGCTGCAGCGCTCCACATGGAGATCTTTGATGCAATATCTACGGCAGTGAAGATTGGCTCTCCGGCCGTCACCAACGGAGCAGCACCAATGGGCATCTCGTGGTTGGATAGTTTCCTCAATCTTTGTGTTAACCGGTGCCGCATTGACTTTGTCACGTATCATTGGTACGGCGCTACGCACAGTCTTGACGACTTACAATCGCACACTCAAGCCGTTGTCGAACTAGCTGCGAGGTATAACATAAGCAAGGTCTGGCTGACCGAATTTGGTACACACTCTGGAAATTTTGGTGAAGGAGATTTCCTCAAAGGCGCTCTGAACGTTCTCAATACCAGTCCCTCGGTTGAGCGATATGCTTATTTCATGCTGGCGGAAAGGATTTTGCTGTCGGCAAACAGACTGAATGAATTGGGTGAGATTTATGTTGGTGTATAGGTAGTGATAAAGTGTGAGGTATTGGCTGATAAATACGATACTGAAAACTATCAGCCAGGCTCGCGGGTCTACAGAGATAGAATGTCGTCTACCACTCCGACATGTTACATTTTGTGTCACGGCGCTCTCCTACAACAACCAGATTGGCCGCGTCGCTGATGCCCATCAAGAGAAAGGTACAGCACTGGGCAAGACATGAGCACTAGTCTCTCCCACTGATGGGAGATTGCCTAGACCAGTCGCTGTGCGCATTGACTGAGGCATCTTTGCCGCTCATATTGATTACCATATAGTCGCTAACCACAGTATATCCTGGAATAGTTTGCTCAGTCTGCACCAGGCACCGTTATCGTTACCTATCAGCTACCCGACGCCGGATCAATTGGAAGAATTGCCAGCAAGGGCAACCCTACAGGCAGTACTGAAAGATTATCGCTTGGATAAGTTCCTGACGCCCTGCGGAACCGATCTTGAAGTAGAGTCCTCCGGGGTGGGCTTCGGGTCGAGTGTATTGCCAGAACCATGCCGGCCCCAGTATAGGTAGCAAATCAGCAGTACTGGGGAACTGTCAGAAGACTATCATCCTAATCTACTGTCTTCTCATAATCTTTCGTTGATGCAGCGGGAACGCAGGAACCAGGCCAAACTGGCTCAATTAACGCTCCTACAGTACTTGAATACGGGCTGATCGACAGCATTGGCTCCACCAGCTTGATGGTCTCGCGCGACATGCGTGAGCGAAAGACAAGTGAAGTACGCACGGGCCACAATAGCTATTGATTTATTGCGGTCCGTGCGCTTCTTGGCATTACCCAAAGCTGTCTCAAGCCTAGCAGGTTTGTACATCTCTAACAGCTTTTGTTCTCTGGTCCTCGTACCGCTCGCCTCAGATTTCTACGTATCTTCTTGCCCGCTCGATGGCGCAACCGTTCAACTCTGGGTTCTCGCTCCCAGTCGTTCTCGTCGACGATTTCAGGCTTAATTGTAGAACCAACTCCTTCCAGTATACCTTTCGTGTTCGCTGTCCATCCAAACTCTTCTGCAGATCTCTCCTTGAGATGCCATGCAAGATGGGCGCAATACTCTAGGCCTAACTCGAAATAAACGAACTCTGACGAGGATTTGGGCGCGATACGGAGTGTGTCTTCCAGCACCGCGCGTTCACCTGACTCGCATTAGGTAATACTCATGAGCTTGCAGCCTCACTCACCTTCTAGTCGATAAATAAAGATCTTCAAGACGCCGTTTTCATCAATCGGTGCTCGCCACTTGTTCTCTCTACCATAGCAATGGATAATATTCTCGTTCACGGTAATGAATGCCCGCTGTATATCATTAGCCCACCAGTATCACAGGGCTGTGATGGGGATACCTGGGGTATGAACCAGTTAATCTGGTTGATGTCGATGGTGCTTGTTAAGCACCATCCGTAAGAGTAGGAGGTGACCTTGAGCATGTTAGAGAAGACAAGAGGCATTGAGCAGAAGTGGCAAGTGTCTAGGTGCTATATATGCGCACCACGCCGGCGCTAGGCTGAGACTGGACTCAGAAGCCTTATTTTGGGGTTGAGTGAGGGAGGATCCAGGCACAAAAATATCTGGAACACCACATTAAGATCAGGGCCCGACACGTGGCCGTTGGACATCAACAAAACTCAGGCATTGGCAGTTTGCCGCCCAATGACGTCGAAGCTGTTTCTACCTTCCTCAAGGTTCTCGTTCGATCCAAATTTCCTGGCTGGGAGATGGTGCTTTACAGTATCACCCCCTTGGATGCCACCCTCTTCAGGAAACAGGTCTTGTGGCGCTGCTCCCCGGCCCGTTTCATGCTCACCAAAGCGCCTGATACATTCGACAGGGCCACGAGTTGCTGCTACAGGAGGCGAAAGGAGCAGACTGTGGGAATACTGTATCTCTGAATACAGTACCCTTGGAAGGAGACGCACCATTATGGAAACGCATGCCCGCCTTCGAAACAGGGTGTATCGCGCTAGGAGAGATGTAGCTGCGTCCATGCAACGGAGAGTATTCGAATCGTGACTTTTGAGCATATCGACCAGTATTTCCCATCCTCTCGGTTCGCTGTGCTGTAGCACAGAGTGACTTATCGGCCTGTTAGATCCGCTTGAAAACAACTGACTCTCCGAGATGTGTTGAATAGAGCATTGATTCTGGTGGCGCCAAAATGAGATTCGCGCAGGGAGATATCTCAGGCCTGGTCTCCTTTCAAGCGATGAACATCAAGCTGAAGGGGATCTTCATTACCCCTGAATGCTACACGACACATACCGCATAGAATGATGGTTACTAGCTTGTGTTTCAGGATATACAGCCGCCAGTCGACCGCCTCTGCATACCTCCTAGAATAATGGGTAGCTGCTGGTGCGATCGCAAGCCGATGGCCTCTGTACACCTCGCAAAAGTATGGGTGTGACCGCACAGCCACCTTCTGCACACCTCATAGAATGATGGTCACTAGCGCTTGTCTCGGGTCGACATATGGTGGTTGCGATCCACCCATCCGTAGGCCTTGTTGGACTGTTGGGAGTGACCGATCATGGGCGGAGGTGGCTCCCTACGAAATTGCGTCGTCGATCAAAGCATGCGCCACAACCCGTCATTCTACGGGGTGTGTAGAGATGCTCGCCCGGTGGTCGCATTTCCTGAAACACCAGCATGCTTACAGATTGGTTGACAAGATCATCCACGGATTGTAGCGGTGTGTTCTCAGGGTCAAAGCGATGCCCGTCGCGACATCGGGCGGCGCTCTCTACCTTAACTGGTCCATTTCGGTCATTCGATTAGAACCCCGGATAGTTCTGAGGTTAAAACAAGCCTTGAATGACTTCTGTGGCCAAAACATACAGAATTGCTTGGTCTAGCCAGACAAGTGCCCTACCATAGGTCATCAGTGACCCAATGCAGGGTTAAGAATGGCAGAGCATCTTGGCGCAAAACATTTCTCCCAACACCCAAAAGATATCAACATCATTCACAAGTACGAATATACATACGCTCTCAGCGGCAGTAAATGATGCTCTGAAGTCGAGATGGATACTAAGGATCATTCAACAATCAATAAGCCCCAGGTTGTTTATGTTGAGGTAGCTCTGCAAGAACATCAGGCTCAGTCTGTCGCCACCACAAACACATTCGACTCGCCTACTCGCCGCAGTCAACGCAATCATCACTAGACGAGCTGTAAGTCGTGTGCGCATTCCCTCGAATCCACTGACATGGGTGGCGCCGTAGCTTGACGGTCGGTATGGAAGGATCGCAAAAGTCTTGGCAGTGGCGTCACTGCTCAAGAAGTCCAGTCCTTTTGGGGAGGGGAGGTTGGACGGGAGGCTGCAAAACCCGCCGCTACAAGCACGCAGAGTGACCTACCGATGTCTCGTCCTGTGTAGGTTTGGCCTCGCCTTTTACTGGGCTTTGTAGAGTTGACGCCCACTTATCTTGCAAAGCCACGGGCTTCTCGTTGCGGTCTAGCGATCACGAGCATTCTCATCGCCCCTGTGTCCGTGTTCTAAGTGTGCCATAGGATTAAACCTGTCGACAGTCCTCATTGGCGCGTGAGATGGTATGGTTCAATGCAAGAGACAACCGCGCTTTGTCGAGCTTCCCTCCGCTTTCGTCAAAAACAGCAGCGGACACAGTTAGCTTTCAAGTCACGAAAATTGAGATCTGAAATACTATATCCTGGAGATACTGTACATGGTGGATATCTATATCTTGGTTTAAGCTGCCGACTTCATTGAGCACCAGCCGGCTGCCGATACTGCTCTCTGGCCGTTGCGGTGCCCCTTCTTTGAACGCGAGCTGTTCTGAAACTGCGGCATGCCTGCTCCTTGGGTAGTCATTCTGTGCAATGTTCAACTGAATTGGAACACAAATTTGCAATGCGTTCCACGTGGGCCGCTTTGATCCGACGATAACTGCACTGAGGTCGTTGTAGCGATCTCGGTTGCAGAGCCGCCGGTATATGGGCATGCGAAGCAAGAAGCTGCCATTGCCCCCTGCCGGACGATGCACAACTTTCAGCTCTCAGCACTGTGGACGCTCGGAGAAAAAGTCCCTTGTATCAAGGGAAGCCAGACGGGATGTCTTGATGACATTCAACAGCCACTGCCTGTATTCCACCGCTTCGAGACGATTGAAGGAACGTAGAGCGAACCTCACAGGGAAGTTTACCGTGAAATATCCCAGGATCCCTCCCGCAAGGAAGTATGGTACCATCCGAGTAACATTGTAAGCCAGAGTGAAGGCGTCAAAACATGGTGGGCACCTGGCTAGGTCGAATGTGACCACTCCTGTACGCGACTCCATGAAATCGGCGAAAGCCAACAGGATGGTATGATATAGCAGACAAATCTCGGCATACACTGGATTTGCAAAGCTCAGAAAGGAGTCAAGGGGACACTTGACGTTATTTCCTATTTGCTTGCATACTGACCAGCTGATTCGATCGCCGGCTTTTGCGTACCAAAGAGTCATTTGCGTGACCACCTGGCGGGCTTCTGTGGTGACGCATACGCCCTCTTGCTTCGATCGACATACCGCCGCTCTCCTCATCAGAATCGAGATGGAGGCCATGAAACCGACAAGCGTATCCATATCGGTGTACTCAGCCTCGATGTTGAGACCGTGACGCCATACTCTATTCTCGGCTAGTGGTATTTGTGGATCGAACATCTGGGTGTAAAGTAGACCAGTACGGCATGCTCGTATCAAAAGCTGCGCTTTAGGAGTCTTCAGATTGCAGGACCCGCGATCATGAACGACACCAGACAACCCGCGCATGTGGATCCAGAACTCTGGTCCATGAAAATTCGATATGCTTGCCTGCAGAGCCAGCAACACAACTCTAGCAATGGTCTCATCGGCTGATCTGTGCTCTCCGTGGCTCAAGCTGCGAATTAAGTTTCGTAGCGCTGTACTGTAAGATGTTGTCGCGTCCTGCCCATTGATGGCTTCGTTCAAGCACTGCATCTCGCCGTATAGGGAGCCTTCGCTAAACATCTCTTGTGTGATCTGCATGAGGCTAAAGGCTGCACTGGAGTAAAGCAGGTTAATGTCGTGCTCAGGTTGGCAATGTTGCCACTCATAAAAGGCTCTTAGAGCCCCCGATATCGAGAACGATGGAAGCGACACGTAACTTTGTGTTTGGGCCTGCTTGGTGAACTTGTGCTCTTCAACCTGCATTGTGAGTTAGATCCGACAGCCATCACTCACGGGCTGAGACTCTGGGCGTTACGCAGGTACTTGTACTCTGGTGACTGAGCATAAGCATGGACTCTTGACTTGTAATCTGTCGTCGTGGTACTCTTGTAGACGACAAGAGAGGTACCAAGGACCTCGCTTGCTAGCTATTTTGCACCTTCGGACCAGAAGATCTTGTGGTACAAGTTCAAGATCGAATAGACTGACCAGCTGGTAATTGAGGCGGTGGTTCGATGACATTACAGTAATGCCGGACCGACTCATAAACAGTACTTTTGGCGGGTGAAATACAGTCCCAGACGATGCCATTGTGGCATAGAAAATTTGATAGAGGCATCCGAGGCCAAGCTGGGTTTCCCGCGTACAGACATCTGTAGATTGAGTGCGCAGCTGCGGCCGGAATTGTCTTTGACACTGGGACACACTGTTGGAGGTCATGGACGATATCTTTCAACCAATCACAAGCCTGATCTCTTCCAACTGTATGTCGACCGCATCTGCGTACGATACCACATGAGATGAGAGAACTTCATTCAAAACGGATCGTCTTTGACCCTGAAGTGCACCAGAACACACACCTCGTAGTATGATGGTCACTAGCTCGTGTTTCAGAAGATATGACCACAAGGCGACCACCTCTCGTAACCTCGCAGAACGAAGGTCGCGCCGTGTGTCCTGGCCGATGACGAAATCTCTCAGGTATTCACTTTTGTCCATCATTTTACGAGGTGCGGGAAGGTAGCTAATCCGCGGGAGCATAAACCAGGGCATGCGAAAGCCTGCCACCACAATGTGAGGTGGCAGAACGTGGTCGCCTGCGGCCGCATCATCCGAGACATGAGCTAGCGACCATCATTCTATGAGGTGAGAGCTTCGTTGCTTTCAGGGTCGAAGAGACTCCCCACAGGAGCTGACCTTCTTCGCCCCGTTGCCATCACGTATGAGGCCGTCGTCTTCCGAGCAGTTGTAGTTTGGCAGCGCCTGTCCGTGCGAAAGAGAACCGCAAATCAGTCCTCAGGGTGCGTAGAGTGACCCTGAAACGTGCCACTATAAGCCGTGGGCCTGCCTGCACATCCACCTTCTATACACCTCGCAAAATGGTCGCTACTAGCGTGTGTTTCAGGTTAAGATCACCCCAGAATATGATGGGTATGTGGCTGCACAGCCACTCCTATACACCTCGCGGAATGATGGCGACGAGCGCGCGTTTCAAGTCTTCAACACCTCAAGAAATGATGGTCGTGAACACATAACCCACTTTCAGTACACCTCGTCGAATAATGGCTGCTTTCGAGGGTGTCAGAAATATGCGACCTCAAGGCCGTTCACCTGAGCTACCACATAGAATGGTGGTCACGGACTCGTTTTTCAAGTCTGCACACATCAAGAAAATTTAGGTGTGACCACATAGCGACCAGGTGTACATGCCTCCGGGAAAGGTGGTCGCTAGCTCATCTTTTGCAACATGCGACCACATGTCGACCATCCGTGCACACCTCAAAGAATCATGGCCACTAGCTCGTGTTTCAGACTGCGCGATACCTTCTCAAAAGAGAGGGGTGTGACCACACTATGTCCACCTCTCAGAGTGATGGGCAGTCGCTTCTGTTTCAGAACATGCGACCGCAAGTCGACCGCCTGCACCACCGCATAAAAGGAGGCTGCTGTGATGTTCGTCAGGGTCAGAGGCCATTACCACGTGACCTTTACATAGAAATGGACAGGTCTTTGTCGATGGCCATGTAGAAAGTGGTTGCCTCGCGGCCGCGGGTTCTGAAACGCGGGTAGGATCTTCCCAGAGCATCTGATTTCCTGTGTTGGGTCTCAGGGTCAGAGAGCCTGCCCTGCTTGATCTATTTTCTCTACATTCCCTCATTCTTGTCCCATTTGCAGTCCTAGTCGGTTGCACAACAATTGCTGTCGAATCGTAATGCCCATCTTCTGATTGCAAGACTTCGTCCCCCGATCAGCCGGCTTAGAAACACTGCTTACCTTAATACGCATTTTGCTCACTGGGCCTGATAGGTGCTAGATGGAGTTGGTCTGCGTTGGCAGAATAACTAGAATGTCGACTCTCTCGAGCACAGTCGCCAAAGCAGATTAACAATGGTCAACTGGAGTTCACTGAACTTGGTACGAATCTCTTATTGTGCATTGGTGCTTATGCTAACGCAGCACGCAGTCAATTATGTTTACTACTGCAACAGTCATTCTATTTGCAGGATCGGACAACGGCCCATCATATTGGTAAGTATGAACAAGACAATGTCATGGTGCGCATAGCAGACGGAGCTAGTGATGGGATATAAAAGCTACTTCCTTAGCTTAGACAGCGGAATCGTCACGGGCACCGATATTGCCGGAATATGGGCCAGCACCGTGATGTACTCTGAATCTCCATAAGTCTGCGGTGCTCGAGTCGGGTTCTCTCCGCTCACTGCGCGACGATGCTGTGGAAAGCGCAGTGGGATTCGTGGTTCTGATCGGCCACGTCCACGGAGAATATGACGTATGGCGTTGTATTTCGAGGAAATATGCAGTGTACGCTCCTGCTGAAATCGATGGAGATCAATTTCTGAATACACATTCTCGTCGTCTGTGTTTTTCTTCATATACAGGTATTGCCGTACATCCTTGGCATACCCATATCCTCGCGGGCAGAAAGACAGGTCGGATTCGCAAATCCGGCACACTTGGCAACGCCTGCTGTGGTCGACAAATCGCCGTACAACTGCCCACTCATCCTCCAGAAGTGATCGTGCTTGAAATCTGACGGTAGGCCTGCTACTGTCCATGTTGCTGGCCAAGTTTCGTTGTCCTGCACACATGCCGATATTGATAACTTTATATACCGCGGTCGTGTTGGTACTTGCCGCTGAAAACGTTGTCGTTTCTTATTCCTGACTGTCCACAACTTATTGTGGCTCCGAGATTCTGGGGCCCTGCGATAAGTTCAGTCATACTGTGCTTGGTGTGGGCATGTCTTCCGAGTGCTAATGTATTCAGGCACACGCGAAGTTCCACGCCGCTTCCACTCCAAACCCCCCCCCCCCCCCCCCAAGTACGTGAGGCACGACCGCGTGAATGTGGCGTGAAGTTCTGTCTACGTAGACCACAAGCAGTTGCTTAGTACGATATGCGCGATATCAGTATCAGCGGAATGAGGCTACGTATCATACTCTAAGATGTTCCGAGAAAGTTAACAGGTACTTGCCAAATAAACATAAGTATCTCGAGAGCAGTATAATAATGCACGCCATTTCCAAACCTGAGTAGGTCGTGTGAGTCCATTCAGCAGTCATTACAGTATACGCTCCGCAACCTTTTCATCATTGCCCTGACACACAGCTTTCTATAGCGCAACAGCTCCTGCCTGTATTAGGATCCATCCTGCAGCTGATATGGTAGGGTGGTACAGTTCTCCTCGAACCTGCCCTTTCTACAATGACCGTATGGCACCAATTCATATCGAGCACGCCTGTACTTAAGAGACAATCGACTCGCCACTTTTACTACTCCTGGCACCCACAGCGCCGTGGGGATCTCCTCATTCTATCATGTCAAACACCGACGATGAACGACACCTCTCCGAGCCTCTACCTTCCAGCGATATCAGCAGCCTCAATTTGACGGGTTCTTCGCCACCAACGGCCAGTCACAGCATCATTCCTTCCCCCGGGAGCCGTTACAAGAAAGAGAAATTGTTCCTGCTCTGCCATGGCTGCATCGGCGCTGTGATGATCCAGTTCGAAACGACATGCGATCTGTCATCCTGTCGATTCATTGTCAGGTCAAAGCATTCGACTCTGGTGCTGACGACCTGCCGCTCGTGTGCGCAACGAATGACATGCCAGCCAAATCAGGACTTTTGGCACCCACCACGCCTGGACGAGTTCTTCCATCTCTTGCGACTCTCACCCTTGATGATCGAACAGATGCACGCCTTTCAGGTCATGCAAGTAATTGCTCGTGGCAAAGTCCTGATTCTGACTCACAAAGAAGCCGTGGCATATGAGTCGTGGAACACTATCTTCAGCAACTTACCGACCCAGTCCATCTGCTCCGGTATTGTGACTGACATGCGGCAAGGACTTGTCAGAGATCGTCTAGTCCTGACCCATGTGCCTACGATGCTCTTGTAGCATGCCAGTGTGAGTCATTGGGAGATGTCGTCATGCCTTGGAAAGCTAGGTCTTGAGCAGCCAGACTTTGAGAGAAAGTAGCTACTACCCCACATTATGCATAGCGGACATGAATGAATCCACTTGACCAGGTCAGGGCAGAGCTTGGGACCCATTCATCTCTGTGGGTTGGACGTAGAGTCAGGGAGGCGAGGACAACACGTTTTCGAGGTCAATACAATGTTTCATCTGTGGCCAAAGCAAAAGTTATGTGCACATGTCTTCGCTTTGTACTATACCCGTGTTTTTGTCATATAACCCTGTGCATAAGTCTCTGCTTTTCGCCACGATATTTGTGCTCAACCCGTCGTGGACGCCATGGAGCAAATCGACGAGAATCAGGCTGCTTTCAACGTCCCACAGCAAGGCCACTATGCGTTTGACGCACTCCCAGACGAAGGATCCTTGAGCCTCGACTTTAGCCCTTTGCCAGAATTCGAGCCTCTCAATGGGCCGTCGATCTCAGCCAGCGTTCCGGCACCAGCATTTGCCGGCCGGCCTGCACTCAATCATGGATCACGTATACCACTGAGAGAACCAGCTATACGTAAACCTGGTACAAATACGAAGCAAGCAGTTGGAACGCTGAGGTACCCTGCACAACCACACGCCAGAGCACGAGCAGTCACGCAGCAGTTTGGTCAGGCGGCGGCACGATTGCGTATTTTCGAAGACCGCCTTTCCAAGATCGAACAGCAGTAAGATGGCTAAATTTATTCGACCCATTACTTATTTGTGATTCAGGAACCATGCACTGCTGTGCCGCCTGGCAGCTTACGAGAAACGGATGAATCAGATACAAGTGGGCCTGCAAAAGGCCGAGGAAGGGCATGAGGAGATAGCTGAGATGGTTAAGGCGTCCGTATCTTTCTTGAACGAGCTCAATGGTGATGGTGCCGTAGCTCAACCTACCGAGTCGCAGCAGTTTTGACCGGTCATCGCTCTCAAAAGTACGCCTGTAGATAGGGGATAACGGCACAATCTCGAACATATATGTAACGTTGTTTACGTTGGAAGGATCTCGCTGTTGAAAAGTTACCTACGCAGCATTAGAAGCGCATCAGGGCACCTTAGTCAAGACTGGCTGGTGTCGTAGGGGTGGCAAGGCGAGGAGAACAAACGTTGGAGGACGGGGGATCTGTTTGACCCTGAACTCAGAGACGGCTTCGGTCCCCACCCATACCTTCCGGGGTTGAAACACAATAAGATATGTAATTACGACAGAGAAGCGATAGGCGGATAGTAGCAGATCACAGGGAACCCTGTTATGGTCCAGTCTGGGTGATTTAGATCCAGCGCCGAGGTTGGGTCGAGCAGCAATTCTATCCGTGGAGCAAGAGAGCAAGTATAGTAATGAGTTTGATTCTGGGCGGCTTGATTTGCAGCAGCAATTGTGTGACACTGATGATTCTAAGAAGAGTAGACTTGCAACCAGAGCCGAGGTATACCCCAAAGCATTGCCATTATTCCTGCGTCCTTGTACCATCACTGCAGAAGATATCGGACTGGGTAGGCCATGTTGAATTGTAATAGTTCTGTCCTTGCATATTGATGAAGGGCGGCACAAGGAACTCCGCATTGTCAGAGGTGCATTCCCAATACGGGGCCTGCTGCTGGTACCAGAGGTTTGACAATGCTTGTTCCAGGGCAGTGAGCCGTAACTGCAACTGTCTGATTTCTGACGGGATATCGATGAGCATCGTAGAAGGATTCTGCAGCGGTTTCTGTATAGTATCATAATAGTCTCGGTCGGTAATGGGTTGATTTCCTCTCGTGTTCATTTCGTCGTGAGTTTCGAAGGCTGGCCGCAGTACTCCATCTGTGGCTTCATAACCACCAGAAAGATCCTTCGCTTGTGACTGACAAGCTTGGGCTGGGTAACACAAGGTAGCGGAGCTGGTTACGCCCTCGTAAACGTCTCTGTGAGCACCAGGTGCAATGTCTTGAACTTGCAAGGCTGCCCCCGAGAGGGGGAGACGCATCGGAGTTGGTTGTTGGATTTCAGGCATTCTATAGTAGAGTTCTTCTCAAAGGTCTGGAACTGGAAATGAACGATTGGGATGGATGCCATCACAGCCTCGATTTATACTGTTCCATGCGGTCGCAATACTCCGAAGCTTGATCATTCTCCCCGTCTTCTGATCGGCTTGTTATTGGCTCATACACGCCATAGGCCAAGATGGTCACCAAGAGAAGTGGATCCGGCGTCTTATTGGACAGATGAGTTCCAAGACGGCGCTTGCGCGAAGCTAGACGTCGGGAAAGTTCAAGCCATCGCCCCGGCCGGCGGCAAAATCTTATTCGTTCTCCATGCAAACCACCAATGGAACCAAGGACCCGTAGACTCCGCCTCTAATGACCACTGGCTGGCCGGCGACCACCTCGCAGCAAGGCGTAATCGAATGTGCCCCTCATGCACATCCCTGCGCATCTCCGGATACCTTGCAGTTCGATACCCGATGTCTGACTGACCTGCGACGAACGAGTCGCTCCTCCACTTCTTCCCAAAAGCCTGGTGCATTACACATCCTCTGCACGGTCTGATCGCTCAATCCCTTAGAACGCAACTGCTGTTGAATTTCTTCGCGCGTGCCAGCACGCAGATTCCACGCGGAGGCAAGCCCCAGACCGAGCTCGCTGATAGCCAGCCAAAGCTCATCGAGCTCTACAGTAGCGGGTACAAAGTCTGTCTCTGCGACCGGGCCGCCCCCATTAGTGCTTGGGTGCATTCGTTGACGTGATTTCTGGTCTCCTAGGGTGCGAAGCCTGTCATGCAGCCCCTCAACGACTCGATCCTGGTTCTCTAGGAAGGTTGCAATACTCTGGCGGAGTCGCTGCTGTCGTTGGTAATTCGAGTATTGCATTTGATCATTCCACACGCGATCAATTTCGGCTATGCTTTCTTGAATGTCGAACATACTGTTGAGTTTTCGATAAAGCGTAGTGTTTAGTGGCCAGAACTTCAATGAAAAGTAGCCCTTTCTCCATTATAAGACAATGAAGCACCTGAGTTCCATGGTAGCGAACCGCCTACTTCTACTCACAGTCGTGGCCGGACAGCCACCAAAAGCTGTGGTTGCCGGTACTCAGTTGCAGATTTTTAAGACTACGCCTGGTCCCCTCCTGGCCATCCCCAGCGGCAGTACACAATGAACGGGATCATCCCTTGTCCACGCTGTGTCGAACTACAGCACTACATCCTACAAAATAATTGCTTCATATACTGGCAGTCGGTGGCATTATATCATGAACGGCTTGCATCAGCTCGCATCGGTGGCATCATTGAAGCTCAACAGCATCAGATAAATCAACTCGAGATCTCGCTTGCAAAGACTATTCTTGAGACTCAAAAAGTTATCATGAGTCTACACAGTCAGAGACGAAAATAGAGGTTCAAGGAAATGGGGCTCAGCTGGAAGACACCAACCTTATGATGCGTGAGCAATGCATGCCTTTCAGCGGTCGCATTTAGGATATCGCCGCGCGCTTTCCCGAATTGGCGCCATCAGCGGCTAAGAATTCTGCCTCAAGCAGGCTCGGTGGATGCCACCATCCGAGGACACAGGCTCGATATGTGGTGGCGTTGAGACGGCCTTGTCTGGGTAGTGACTATTTAAGTTGCAAAAATATTCCAGTACACGGAAGACGACCTGTAGCCATACCCAGAGAGCAGCTGGAGATGTCGGATAATTCACTAATCACCATTATTTTGGCGGTGGCAATGGCACTAGCCGTCGTTCTCTCTGTACTCCTGTTCGTTTATCTATTCTATCGGGCACAGACAAGGCGCCTTCAAGATGTGGAGATGATGTCCAAAAATTATCAGGGTCAGCAATCCCACCACCAAGTGCATCGGCTACTAACGAGTGGCATCCAGCCCCGATCGTGTCCGGCAAACCACTTCCCCCGCTTCCTTCGCTTTCGCAGATGCCAATAGCTGAAGCTCTGATTAAATCACCCCATACCGGGGGAATCGAACGAAGATCTCCTCCAGCGCGCTCGCAACCGCGTCAAGCCGTCCCAAGCAAGAACAGAACCCTTCCATTTAGGGAGCTACAGCTTGACCACCGCGCGGATGTGCAGCGTGAGCCGCCAGCGTCTTCCAATAATGAGGAGCCCGAAAAGGAAGTCGAGGACATTGCCATCGGATTCAGCCCCGATATGAGAACTGCAACTTCTGATTCGAGACCACAAACTCCACTAGTTCCACGATTATCAACCCACGCCATCTCCAAGTTGCGCGAGACCAAGTTGCGCGAAGCCAAGCTACGCGACACGAAGCGAAAGCCCCCCATTGAACTACATCGTAAGTCCATCATCATATCGCATCGCACCCAGCACTGAAGTCGAATCAGCGGCCTTCGAATCTGTTCCAGAAGAACATTCACCAGAAACCAAGAATACAACGATGGCCGGAAACAGATTCTGAGACCAGCTCAAAATAATCATTCCTCCTTCTAGAAGCTCTGTCTTTGATGTAAAAGAGTGTCGGTTATCATCACTGAAGATACGAAGCGAGTGTATGCTGTGCTCACCATCTAATATCCCAAATTCTTGGAGTAGACGTCGAAATAAATCTTGAACTTGAGCTGGTCCTTGCGACTCATGCTGTTGGGTTGTGGGATCTGGTTCGCCGCGCACCAACCCTGCAGAGCCGCATCTCGCAGCTCTTCCATTGTCAGCTTATCATCATCGACATCTGACCCAGATTGATCCTTTATCTGCTTCTGATCTTGATTCAGCCCGGGGCTTTCGTTCGCCTTGCTCTCAATGGGCGGAGGCACGGCTTTCGGCTCAGATGGTGTAGACTTTTGCTTTTCGCCGGTGGAGAATTCATCCCCATACGCAGGACTCGCGCTTTCCTCTGATCTCTTGAAAGGCTGCACCGTTGGGTCCCGGCTCAGAGAACGACGATAGTCAGAAAACTGCTCTGGTAAGTTTTTTGCATACCAATCGGTGAAACGTTTCGCCTGCTGCTGAGCTGCTTCGTAGACGCGCCACTCGGATTTGATTTGTTCCTTGCGATACAAGGCCTTATACTGTGATGCTACTTCCCAGCTGGTGAAGAGATCTTCCTTGGTTTTAGCCACGGGGTTGTTTGTGAAGCCATTGATCTTCTGGTGGAATTTGACATCCATGTGCGTGGTTGGATATTTGTCCAGGAAATGGTCGTCCTTCTGCAACCAATCCCGTCGCGCCTTGGGCGTTTTCAGTTCCTCGGCCCTTTTTACTTTTCCGGGGTTGAGCAGCTCTGCTGCTTCCATCGGACTACCTTGGAGACCCTCACAATCCCAGACAATGTTCAGAATCCCATACACGTTCGATGCTCGGTAACGAGGTTTCCCTTGTTCACGAGGAAAATCCAACACGCGGTGGAATCTTTCGCTGACATTCTGAAGATCTTCGATCTTCTGGCCGTCAGCAAGAGCAGGCGTCGTGCTCCACACGAACCACCCTTTCGCCCGTGGGCCGTACCGATTGAGAAAAAGGGGAGCTGGGTCATCATCGCCCTTCTTGCAGCGTCTTGCGACTGTCGTGCATGGGACGCCAGGAAAGATCTCTCCGCTCCCTGAGTCTGCTTGCAATGGAATCGGCTCCGCGTCGTCACCGATATCTGTTGTATCGGCCATATCTCGCTCGACAGAAGGTACAGTGTCTGGACCATCGCTCGGCGTGGAGCTTGCTGCGGCTGACTCTGGTTTCTTTGAGTTTGTTGCCGGAGTCGGAGGAACGACATCTGTGGCCCGCGCTTTTGCTTCCTCGACGGCTTTTTTTTCCTCAGCTTCTTCATTGACGGAGTTTATGAACTCAGTAGGATCCGGCTCCTCCTTCTTGACGCGCTTTGACTCAGCCATGATTGCAAGACGAAAATGATCCCATCGACATCAGTTCGATCAATATATGTCGGCATGATGACCTCGGAAAAGTGATGTGCGACATGCGTATCGATCTGTCATGGCTGGATACACCATGCTCGAACCTTGGCGGTTACCATAGCTATTGATGGGCACAGGTAGTTGCTACTTTAAATGTTACACCGCACCTTCTACACTGGTACTTGGAGCACGGCTGAAGAGGATCACCATGAGACGCTCACAAGTACTCCTCTGGTTCACCGTGGTGTTCAGTGCCATTGCACTGGGGTACGCAGAGCCTCCTGAGCGCCTATTCTGATACTAACCATCCTGGACAGCGAAACGCTTTCTCTGCCACAATCAGGCAATATCTCGTTGGGCGATTATTGGGTCGTATGGAGCAAGATCAGTTCGACAGCATTATCGAACATGAACATGACAGCGACTGGTGTGATCATAACGACGGAAGGCAAGTCGATATCGTCTTCGACTAGGCCTTGGACTGACCCTCTAGCCATCAACACGACAACTCCTGTCATGGATCCGTATACTAAGATCACAACATGCGATGACGGCGTCGAACCAACGTCACCTGTAACCACTTATAGTCTATACAATCAAAGCCTGACATGGAATCGTACTTCGTCAGGTACACCTCAGGTTCTGACAACAGTCAATACTACAACATGGTCCCGCGGTTCGGCACAGCCCCGTGCGAGCCCCTTCACTTCTCTGGGCTTCTCACAGCGATCAACATATGCTACAAGTCTTTCGGCCGGGTTATTCTGCCTTTTCAGCATTCTGATTGCGACTTGAACGCCTATGACATTCAAATCTGACACTATAGTGGACGTCATGATGGACAGGGTTCTTGATAAGAAATAGTCAACATTAGATAGTCATTCCAAATATATCTTCGAAGACATGAGGCATCTTCTACGAGAAGGTGAGATCCGACGAATGTGCTTTCAGTCCAGGCTCCCTATGGTCGTGCGGACTTTGCGCCACATCGCTGCTTGCTGCGAACTGAATTCGTGGAAGCGATCCAAGAAGGTCTTCACCTGTGCAGATCGCGATGGGGTGGGAGCAGACAATACCAAGTCAGACTGGATGGATGGCGAGGAACCGGTCGAAGTCGGTGTATCCGCCTCCTCAGAATCATCACGCTGGACGATATGCGTTACTGAATCTCTCTTCTTCGGGACAACTCGGGTCTGGGCTAAGCGAGGCTCTGCGTCCTCGTTCTTCAGAGGGATAACCCTGGCATTGCTATCTGCTGCCTGCGTAATCTTCAGCTCGCAGGAACAAGATACATAGGGCGGATGTCATACTAACCAGTTTCATTCCATTAGGAGGCCAGGTATCCGACAATTTTTCTGAGCTCCAGAAGTGGGAGCGCTCACCCTCCTTATCCTTAATAAGCACGAACACCTTAGCCTTACAACGCGTGTTCAGCTCGAAACCCTTGTTTCCAAGGCACTTTCTGCGACGTCGATACGACTCGTACTGCTTTTTGGCGTCCTTCTCTTTGCGAGTGAGAGGACGATAGGCACGAGGCAGTTGTTCAACCTGCTTCCCACGCGATCTCGCACCCTTAGGCTGCATACGGGGTGCCATATTCTCGCTCTTCACAGCGAGACCGCAGCCAGAACAGTTCCGTTGACGAGACTAGTCACAATCTTCCTGCATTCTGTACTGTACTTCGAACAGCTCGGTGGCAGATGTTGCGCAAGCCTTAGTATATGCAGGCCAACAAAATTCATGGCCCTAGGTACAGATGTCCTTGCAAAGAGCTGTGGTGTCGCTTGTTGCAAAACCAGGATCCCAAACACCACAACTTCGTGAGGGTTTTGTGAGCATGCAGAGAACACCAGAGAAGGCTCGAAGCGGTTGACCCCAATTCCATGATGTGTGATGCAAATCGCTCTTGCCGGATTACTGTAAAACGGCAGTAAGACAACCACAGCTGTTGCTGGCATTCTCGCACTACCAGAGTGGTGAAAGGCTCGATAGCGGCCGCATGACCTGAAACGCAGCCACATACATCCTGGTAGTAGGCTACAGAGTGGTCGCATGGCCAGTAACTCGACCAATTCCTTATATTATTGGCTGAGATTTACCACGTCAACTTGATGGTGCACATCAGGGGTTTCGCCATCCCCATCTTCAGGAAATTTTTCTACCTCAAAGTGGCTCACTTCGCGTCTTCGCTGTGCTGGAGAAGGCTCTGTTGTTCCCATATATCAGCAGGCCCTGCTTCTAACGTTCTTCCGTCTTGTACACCGGGCCATCGGCCTTAAAAGGACACCTATTATTATACATCAGGCAGGAGAAGCAGGACGCTCTGAAATTTCGGAATATCTACATTGCTATTTGACTTTCTTCTCATGTCACCCGTCTATGGGCGATCCTATTACCATAAATTCGCCGCATATCTTGTTTCCGCCGCCATCTCGAGCTTGAGCTTGACCATCGAACACCAGAGCCATGAGCGTCACTAGTCAGCTTCGTCGTGGCATTTGTATGGGATCGCTTGCGCCAGGCCACCCTACGAATTCCTAGGCTGCCCTTACCGTCTCCCCACAAGTCGACGTGGCGGATGGAAAATGAATCATAACCGGCAGCACGGCAGTCCAATTCTTCCGCAACTATTATTACTAGCCTGGGTCCGGAGTGGAAGTCTGTCCCACTGTTCGTGCATCATGGACTACTTCAACACATTGTCATCGGAAATCACGCTCGCAATTCTAGTGCTGGTAAGCGATCGCGTACGACAGTTCCTCGTTGCTAATGAGCCATCAAGCTGGAGCGACGTGACTTCTTGCGCGTTTTACTCACCTGCCGCAAGATAAACAACGTTGGCTCGTTTTTGCTGGACTCTCGCCTCTACTACCCCATCGGATTGTGTTGCACTAGGTGCGCCGGCTCCACGGTCAGAGTCGATAAGGCGGAAGTGGAGCGATTGCGGGTGTTACAAATCCTATCCGATCATCATCGCGCACACCACCTCACACAACTAACGATCACCGATCGATCGTGTTCGCATTGCACTGAATGTCATGCCAAAAGTCAGCTACTACGAGACATTCGTGGCAAGGCATTATCGACTCTGGCAAACATGATTCCTCGAGCCATCAACCTTCGTCACCTTAGGTATGTTTGTTGCGTCATCCGTCTGTCCCAGAATCTAAGTCAACAGATTGGACGTTTTCGATAGCGGCGATCTTCCTGAAGAGCTGCTGAAATGTAATCAGCTTGATACTTTGCTGGTGAGACTACCTCAACGACTGAATCACCCAGCTTTGTCGAATCTGCGCCACTTGACTGTGCATGTCGACCAGCAGCAGCATGCGCTCGAGATGTTGCCCTCATTGTTGAAGCTAAACAGCCTCCAAATTCACGTTCGGGGTCGTCCGTCTCGTCAGCATCTGAACCTGATCAATCTGAGCAGATATCCCACATTGAGAAGTATTTGTGTTGATGGTGACGCGTGGACCGCATTTACGGGAATGTTCACTGGTCAAAGCCAAAGTCTCGAAACCTGCATTCTTCGTGGTCAATTGGTTGTGACCAATCAACTAAACGACTACTTCGGCAGGATTGCGGGCTCCTTGAAGTATTTGTACTGTTGCGGGGTCCATTTCGTTGGGAGTGTCGAGGTCGCTCTGCCTCAGCTCGAATTACTGTCTCTGCATAAGGTCTTATCCTCAAATCGTCTGAGCCCGTTCGCGAGATGCCCTGTACTGAGAACGATCGCGATCGAGGCCGATAACGTGATGACGAGGGAGCGACATGATGATCTGAATAGATTGCTACAGCTTGTGGTGTTGCACTGGGCAAGTACCCTCGGAACCTTGATCCTCAGATCTGGTCTTTCTTGGCGATTATCCCCCATTGCTATACACGCTCTTCAGCGGTCAAGGCTCCTACAAAATCTACTCCTTGATGGCTCTATCATTGTGGATGGGCGCGATTGGCTGCTTATGTCCTGTACTGGAACTCTAGATGTGGTGGCGAAGATTGACAGTTGGATGCTCACGAACAACGTATGTGGTCAACGATACTCCTCTTCAATGCTAAAAGGTTATAGAATAATGACAAACTGCTTGAGCATCAACACATCCCAGGTATGGCGGCCGATAGCAGCCGCAAATTCCAGATGAAAGCAAGCCTGCTGCCAGCACGCATACGATCTTGTCCATGTGGATTCATGAATAGGATGTGCTTTTTCAAGCGATCGGCTGTGCCGGAAGTGTGTATCCAGATGTACACGTGGCTGATAGCAGATTCGCGCAGAAGCACTTGTCAGCATGGCGTCGGTGGCGATATCACAGAGCACGAGATTAAACCGTGTGCCTCAGGGCAGGAAGAGCCGAGATTGATTCCCCTTCCAGGTGTGGACGAACGTCTTTGCTTGCTGGTCGACTAAACGCGCACGATTTTCAGACGAACTGGTCATAGAACATCAACTGACTGCATCCGATTCAGCCTTCTTCATCGCCACGAGTCCTTGAAAGTCTACCAGATTGTTCAGAATCTTAAGACAGGTGTTGTAAGCGATGTCTTTGACCAAGTTATTTTTCGTACTGGTCGCGAAAGCTGGAATCGAGCCGCAGACGGACAGAAGTTGTTTCCACGAAGCGCCAGCTATCGATCCCTTCTCGTCTTATGGAATCCAGAGTGTTCTCATAAGTACCACAGCATCAGCATAATGCCGGTAGCGTATAAGCAGCGTCCGCTAGAAGTGGTTTGAGCTTGCAAGACCACCTGGATCGCACAGCTGCCTCACTCCTGTACGAAAACTTCGCTAGTATGGAAGCCCAAGGCGTCGCAGTCTCCACGAGTCTCGTCAATTCGTGGTCTTCTTCTTCTTGCCAGTCACCCCGTTTCAATCCTGAGCCTCCATTGTAATCATGCTCAAACGATGTTCGCCGCTTTTTCGCAGCCCGTGCCCCGTGCCGGTTCTTTCTGCGCCGTTTTGTCTTCGTAGTGCGTTCTGG